ACAACAGTACCTCCCATTAACAGGTTTTATGGTGTTTTGGAAAGTTACAGGGTCAAATATATAACGTTCCATTTTCAAATTGAAATTTGCCAGATTAGTAATGTTACCTTTGAGACAGTGTGGTAGCCCAGGAATGAGAATTACCCCCATAATGGCATACCATTTGAAAAAGTAGACAACCCAAGGTATTGAAAGTAGGGTATGTTTAGTCTTTTTTAGTAGCCACTTAGTCACAAACACTGGCCAAAGTTAGCATTCATATTTGTTTTTGTGTGAAAAAAGCAAAAAACTAATATTTGGCCAGTTTATATTTGCGTTTTATATTTGCAGTTACCGTATATACTCGAGTATAAGACGAATTTTTCAGTACGTTTTTTGTGCTGAAAAACCACCACTCGACTTATACTAGAGTTAATGTCTGTATTATGGCAATTTAGATTGCCATAATACAGACAAGGACCGCCGGGCTTATTACAAGCACGGCGGTCCTGTTGGGGGCTGGCAGAGAGCTGTTACTTACATTTCCTGCAGCTCCTGTCAGCTCCCTTCTCTCTCCTCCATTCCGGTCAGCTCCCGTCAGCTCCACTGTAAATCTCGCGAGAGCCACGGGGAACACTCCGCGCTGCCGCGAGACTTACAGTGGAGGAGAAAGGAGCTGACCGGACCGGAGGAGAGAGAAGGGAGCTGACAGGAGCTGCAGGAAAGGTAAGTAACAGCTCTCTGCCAGCCTCCCTCCTGCACAGCCCATCCACTGGCCAGCTAACAAGCAGGGAGGGGGGATGAAAATAAATATAAATAAAAAATTAAATAATAATATAATGAAAAAATATTAATAATATATATTAAAAAAATAATAAAAATGTCCACTCCCCCACCAAGGCTCTGCATCACATACACACACTGCACTCATACTCATACACACACACACACACACACACACACTGCACTCATACACACACACACTGCATTCATACACACACACACACACACTGTATTCATACACACACTGCATTATATACACACATTGCAAATAAATATTAAATTAATATAATTTTTGGGGGATCTAATTTTATTTAGAAATTTACCAGTAGCTGCTGCATTTCCCACCCTAGTCTTATACTCGAGTCAATACATTTTCCCAGTTTTTTGGGGTAAAAATAGGGGTCTCGACTTATATTCGGGTCGACTTATACTTGAGTAAATACAGTATTTGTATTTTATATATAAATAGATATATATAGAATGTCATTCTAAGTGTATTTTGTTACCAATATATATATATATATTAATAACAAAATACAGTTAAAATGAAATTAAATATGAATATATAATTTATATTACATTTTGTTTCAATATTTTATTCATTTATTTTATTATTTTATTTATTTATTATTGTAATTATACGTATATATATATATAATATATGTGTATATATCTATTATATATATAATATATATACATATTATATATATGCAACGTCATTCTAAGTATATTTTAATACTAATATATGTACTTATATTAGTATTAAAATACACTTTGTATGACGTTACATATATATAATATGTATATATTTTTATATATATATATATATATATATATATATAAATACATTTCTTTTTTATTTTATAACGTGTTTAATTTTTTATTTTATTTTTTACTTTCCCACCAGCAGGTGGACTGTGAGATTTCAGACAGTCCCCCTGCTGGCAGATCCACAGCCAGCTAGCTATAGGGGGCCATGTGATCGCTCTTTGAGAGTGATCACATGGCCCCCGGGGGCCTCATTTGCCCGGGGAGGGCTGCCTGGGCTGTCAGGCAGCCCTCCAGAAGAGGATCGCGGCGGAGGTAAGTCCACCGGACCTCCAGGGGCTCAAAGCCGTTACAGCGTTCTATGCCGCCGCAACGGCTTTAGAGCCCACTTAATGCAGGACGGCATAGAACGCCGTAACAGCGCTAACGAGTTAATTAAAGGTATCTTCATGAATAACATCACATTAAAGGGACACTATAGTTTTCCAGATCACTTTACCTCAATGAAGTGGTCTGGGTGGAGCCGTCCTGTCCTTTTAATCCTGCAATGTAAAACCAAGCAGTTTTGTAGGAGATGCAAGTTTATGTTGCAGGGTTGTCATACGGACAGCCACTAGAGGCGCTTTCGCTGCACAGACCGAGTAAAACACAGACACGTAACTCGAAAGCCCAAAAGAAAAGCATTGAATGCAATGCTATCCCATGGGAAGCTTGAATGCACGCGACTCTCACCACCCATGCACATTAGATCTCTTAGACCATCGTAAAATGGGCCATCCTCCATGACATTGTGGGAGGCTGACAGGTGAGCAACCTCACCGCAGCTTCTAGGCTGAAAAAAGGTTAATTAATATAGGCGGACACCTATATAGATCTAGAGACACTAACACTATAGTGGATAGTACATTGTGATGTCTTACGAGATGGAGCCTCATTTTTGTTTATCAGCCAAGTGTGAGGACACCTGAGCAGCTTTTGCTGGACATGTTTCTTTCCTGCACTGCGGCCAGGCATTACATGATCAGTCCTGCCCAGCACTACGTAGATGTTACAAGCTCTCGTGGTGGCCATGTGATTAGTTCTCTACACTGATGATAGAACATACTATGAGATGTCCTGTGTGTCCTTTAACCTTGAACATCTGAATATTGTTTTAATGGACATAAGAATATTTATTCCTTCCAAATCCCCCCAAAATCTTTGTCTTCCTATTTTTAATGAAATATACAATCTATGTTGCAATAAAAATATCTATATTAATGTTGCTATAAAAAAACTTAGATCAGATGACAGTACCAATAAAAATTTACCTGCTCTCAATCCTGAACCCCAGAGTATACTTAAATAACAGAGGTTTGTAGAATCAATGTAATGATCTTGGAGTTAGCAAGTATGTTAACTTTTTGATGGCCATTTGCGTTACTAATATCCTCTGTTATTTAAGTTCATTATTTCCTTAAAAAAATAAGAAAAATAAGTAGTTCAGTCCTCAACTATGTTGCTAATGTCCACAAAGCTGCCATTGATTCATATAGGAGAATTATCATTGAACATACGAGGAGCAGGATTGGCTGAAAATATTCCTGCCATTTCCTTGGTAGGTGGGAGATATGAGCAAACAAAATCTAAATACAAGTATTTATTTTTATTTTTTATTAATTTACAAGAAAACAATAAAGCACCAATAATTAAGTGGTGAAATATTTTATGGAGTGTCCTCTTAAGAATGAGAAGGGTTTTAAATTCATTTTTGTTTTTAGCCAACTGGAATTTTTGGAACCTTGTTATTACGGATTGCTTCCTGGCTTCCCACAAGTACTTAAACCAAACACAGATAACATTCCCAAATTAAGCTCTAGAGTGCTTTTGATGTTTCTTTGTGTTCCCAGTCAAGTGTTAACAGGATGGGAATTGCCACAGAAGACCTTATTTATAAAGGCTCTGGCTTGCCCACAAATGGTGATAACCTCTTCCACAGATTGCCTAGGGGCATATTAAGCCAGCACTCTTATCATGTGGTTTCCAGGATGGTTACCAGCCGGGGGACAGGGCCACAATGTCAACATATCTGTATGATCTTTGAGGCCCATAAATTGTCTCTGAAAGCAACTGAGTGTCAGAGCACTTTCACACTGTGGATATATTGTAAACACTGGAAACTTGTCACCACATCCAGCTGTGGATTTGCAATTTGTCATCATTAAGTTAATTCTTCACCGTGTTGGCTGTCTAGATTTTTAAGAAAGGCGTGAGAATCTAAGCTTAATGAGGTCTTGTAGGACTTTACACATCTCAAACCTTCTTCCATAATTTGTGTTTGCTGTGCCAACACCCATGTCTATTATTAAAGGATTTAACTTAGATCATTGAAAAGGGCTGTTCACAAATATGGGATGGGAACTGTCCGTAGGCTATTATTGAACTGAGCATATTAGGTACTTGTCATTTGTTTAATGTGAAAGTTAATTCCCCTTTGTATCTGCATCTGCCATGATATGGTTAATAGTCAATACTTGTCTCAAAATTGTTGTCCATATGCTTTTGTTTGATTATAAGAGATATTTTAGAGTAATAATAAATGTCCAATAAGCATAGCTCCATGTGTGTTCTGTAAGAGTATTGTTTTTATCTGTTTAAATTGTGTCATTCTTTTATATTGATGCGTTTGCACTTCTCATTAAGAGATTACCATTTTCCTAAATTGAATGACACAACATTTTGGTGTAACATACATAAATGTAATATTTTCAGTCAAGCTAACTGATATGAATGTCTTCACCCTGATACCATCCATGCGCTTTGCAAGCAGTACACTTCCACCATAGTATGCGCATGCTAGCTCACACCAGACTATGCTCACTGCAAGTCCAACTATATACATTCTAGTCCCTATATCAGGGGTAGGCAACATTCGGTACTCCAAATATTGTGGACTACATCTCCCATAATGCTTTGCGAGCAATGTGGCTCTCAGAGCATTATGGGAGATGTAGTCAAAACATCTGGAGTGTCAAAGGTAACCTATCCCTGCCCTATATCATACCAAATACTCTGTAATCCCATAGCAGGCACGTGCTCAGCCCCATATCTGCATATACAGCTACATACATGCTAGAATCTCTTCATTATAGCCATGTGCAGTCTAATTTAAGCTCATGCACACTCTCACTCAGAGACAGTTTGCCACTTATCTCCATACGCACTCTACCACACAGAACCATGCACACTCTAACTATCATATCTAAACATGACTCACCCCAAACAACAACAACAAAAAACATAAACAAACATCTCTATTTTGTAATTTGCATGAGCGCTGGTCAATATATAATACTCTCTGAAATTATTATTTTTTTTTATTGTTTTAGAGTCCATAGAACGTGTGCACTCTAATGAAGTTAGTCAAATGAACTAATCAATTATTTTCTATTATTACACAGAACGCTCTCTATTTTTTTTATACAATTGCCCTAAGAACATTTTAGATACTCCTGATATTCATGTAAAATTTTTGTGCATTTCTGTCATATCCCCTTAAAAAAAAAACAAATTCTACCATGTTGGAGAGAAGATCAACCTTTTATTTTCATTAAACAAAAATGACATTGCATTAGCCAATAATATGTTTAACAGCACCCAGACAAAAATGAGACATTCGGCATTTAATGCTACATAGTTAAGCAGATATAGAAAAATAAACATAAGAAAATAAACAAATATATATTTATGGAACATGTGGTATGTAGAGAAAATGTCAAAGGCAATATTCTTTATGTATGCGAGATGAAGAATAAGCTATATAGTTCGTGTTACAAATTAGAGATGGGTTATTTAGTAAAATCACAAGTTGGGTATGTAGGACAGTAATTAGTCTTACACGTCCACTTTGTCATTGAAGGTCCCAGCTGTTTCTTCAAATGATACCTTGAAGGTAAGGAATGTGTTCACTGCTTGTCCCTAGGCTATATTTTCTTACATAATTACTATCCACAGCAAAAAAAAATTATTTTTGAGGGTTGTGTATTGAACTTGTAAGTTCTTGTGTTTTTGACTTAAGGCTTCTATTAAGGTACTTTGTTTGAGTATGTGTGTAACATATGACTGAATAGAGTTGTTACACATGGCATCAATGTTTGCCCCATAATCTAATAACTTTGGAGATTGATTCCTCACACTTAAACTGAGCTTTATGGCATTTCTCAGCTGTAAAGTTGATCTTACTCTTCAGGTCATCAGTGGCTTTAGAGTTTGACACATTCACATCAAAGATGAGTTTGATGACCAGTCCAGAACCGTGAATTTGACCTTCAAATACTTGTCATCAGTTTGCTGTGCCCCTCCATAGTATCCATAATATGAGGCTAATCAAGTCAAGCGTGTTATCTGACATAAAATCAAACTTGTATATTGACATGCTAAATATGGAAAATCCCAACATTACTGAACCACCTTTAGCTGCAGATTCTTGGTGGTGGATACCATGTTTCTTGTTGAAGTTGAAATTATACATAGAATTGTCTGATCTTTACTTAGGCTGTAAGCTCTTGGCCAAGTTTTGCAATGAGTTGCGGAGGCTTTCTACGGAGGGGTTAAACCATTTTTTTACCTGATCCGATAACTTGTCCACACTGGATTTGACATCAGAGGCCATCTTCTTCACTTTATTTTGAACATCTTTGGCCACAGAGGCAAACCTATCTCTGAGTGCTTTCCCTTGCTCATCCATGGCATCCTTCAGAGATTGGAGACGTTGCTCTCCTTTTTCCTTGAGGTTGGTTACATAAGGCTCGACTGCTTTTCGGAGGCTCTCTACTTTTTTTTCAGTGTTGCCGCGGATATCATCCCCATACTGGCTAAGTTTCTTCTTCAGATCCTCAGTGTCCTTGCTAAGACGTTTCTTCAGCTTTTTCATGTACATGCTCATTTTCCCTTGGACATCTTCAATGTTTTGGTCAAACATCATGCGCAAGTCTCCCGAGTACTGAATTGCCCTGGTCTTTGTGTCTTCCATGTCTGATTTCAGCTTATCTGCCAGGGCAGAAATTTCTTCAGTGAATTTTTCTTGCGCATCCTGAGCCATGGGGCCAACGTTGCTCTTTATATCACTAGCATAATTGCTCAGCTCCTCCATAGTATCTTTGATAAGGCCACTGAAAAAAAAAAAAGACACGTGAAATGGAAATTAGAATATTTATATTTCAAGGGGAAAGGGCAACTAATGATGACAAATAACTGTGGTGAGTTTAACTATCATTGACATCTTGACAGTGCATATAAAACATATTTCTTTAGTACACAATCACAAACAGATTATTGGTGTTATGGAAAGATGTAGAATATGGTAAAAAAATAATTGGTGTTAAAGGAAAAAAAAGGTCTGTTGAGCTGAGAGTATTAAAATATTTGACTTATTTTAAAAGGGAGAGGCACATATTGGTAATGAAATGTGGTTTAATTTATGCATTGACACATTGATGACAAAAAAAAACAAGAAGATATCGTAGATAAGTGCAATGAAGAATACATCAAAATAAACAGAAAAGAGTTTGTATAAGAAATGGACATGTTTTTAATTTGTTTTATAGATAGAGTAAGAATATTGCAAATGAATGGTTGGTGTTATATGAAGAGAGAGCACGCTGGGAATGGCTGATTGGTGTTATATGGGGTGGGCGCAAACTAAAAATAGGAAATTGGTGTTGCAGAGAGAGTTGTACAATGCATGAAATTTTGTTACTGAGCAATTCCCATCATACGTATCAAGACACTGTAACCAGCCATTTTGCACTTAAAGTATGTGTTCTACACAGAAATGACTTGGCCAGTTACAGCGGGTTAATGGAGCAATGAGAGGAGTTAAATAGGACACAAGCTGAAACATTTTATTCAGTGAATAATTAAGAAGAGATATATTCGCTATAAAGTCTGGTAGATTTATAAGAAAAAGAAGTGGAAATATCGAAAAGAGAAATTTAAATGTAAGGGACAGGAAGTGCACCCACATAATATTCTGTGGTGTACAAAGAAAAGAGACTAATTGCTTTTGAGACAGTAACAGGCGGAATGAGGGATGTTGAAGAGAGATTCTAACAAGCCTGTGTTTGGCATTCCAATGTAAAATCTAGTATAGTTTACCCCCTTAGGCCATACAGAGAAGCAAAACTCATTTGCACACATGTCCTGTCCTGACTAGCTTCTTCCATTATTACATTCCATTGATTATTGGATGTTTTGGTAAGTAAAAGTGCTGATTAAGGGGTTTTATTTCTGTGCCCTGCAGGGCACATGGCCTGCAGAGCTTGGCCCCCACATGCCGTGTAAGCACTGATCATGAAGGTATTGCGAGAGTTACACAGTGCCGCAGTTTCGTAACTGGGTCAGGTCAGAGCAGACTGAAAATTCCTCTGTTTTATAAAAGGAAAAACATCTGCCTCTTGCTCTTTATGTGCTTAACCAACTTGTTACAAACGTCTCAGGCTAGTTTAACAGGCTATTGTAAAAATAAAAGGAATAATTTAACATAAAGGCATGTGCTGAGTTTGAAAATACTGGCAGCGGTAGGTAGTCATCGCCAACGTTGTGGGCTATATCTCCCATGATGTCCTACGAGTCACAATGACACTGTTAGTAAATGAGTAGTTTATAATGAGTAGTAAGATTTATTGGAGGAGGTAGCGTTATAGGGAGACTTTAAATTAAAATGTAAATAAAATAATAACAATGAGAAAGTAAAAAAAAAAAAATATATATATATATATATAAACAAGCATTATGGAGCCACAATGGGTGTAATAATGTTGCATGCCATGTGGTACTATGCTTTAGTGCTGTGAACGGTTTCATACTTAGGAAAACGAGAGAAATCTCAATGTATCTTACCTGGTAAAATATTTTATAAATAAATTATATTATAATGGTGAAAGGCATAATTCAATGTGAGGTTATAAGGACCATTAGGAAAGGGAATCAAGGGAAAATGGATGAATTATAAAAATGTTTTACACAGGAATCTGAAAATATATTTGAACACAATACTATGTATTTATTAACTGTTTAACCCCTTAAGGTAATCCACTATCCGGGGAACTCCTTGCATCATAATAACGTCAATACAATTAACTTGTTATGGTGGTCCCGGGGGGGGTTCCTTTACATAAAACAGTTATTAAAGCAGAATGTTTAGAGTTACTTGTGGGTTAAATACATTCCGAGTAAAGAAATTAAATGACTAGATTATCCACTAAAGTGAGAGTTTTTAGGAAATTCAAAGTGAATTTCAAATTTAGAGCCAAACTGGAAGCACAGCTGACTTGGGGAATTTCTCTAGTTCTGCTTTTTTGCCTCAAATTTGAAATTGGCTTTTAAATCCTCAGGAGTCTTACTTTTGTTTAATCCTGTTAGATTTATCACAATGTCAGATTTACGTATTGATTAGTTTACCAATTGGGTAACTAAATTCGTCACGAGCAAAACACTAGATTTCTTTTTAATAAATAAACAGATCAATCAATAAATACAATAATTGCCTGGTCTGCAGATAAAAGATCACACAGTTTTTTATTCATTCTTTTTTTATGAACATGTTTCAAGCATACAGGAAGTACACAGACATGTGAATCTGCTGATATTTAATCACTGTAACCTGCAGTGAGTGACTCGTTTTAGCATGAAATGATGAGCGGGGGACTAAAAGGGACACTATAGCCACCAGAACCACTACAACGTAATGTAGTGGTTCAGGTGCAAATAGCCTGTCCCTGCAGGCTGAACAGTGAGGCTGATGAAATGCAAAGTTTACACTGCTGCCTAATGCCAACTCTATTGGTTGTCAGTCTGACAGCCACGACAAGGTCTTCCTGGGTTTGGTTCTGCACATATTGCAGAATCGATGTTCAGCATCTCCAGGCTCTGCATGAAGACCCTGAATGGTACCCATAGTGATGCATTGAGTAAAAGTATCTCTTTGAGGACATGTTGATTGGTGCTGGATTGACAATAGATTGATGATCACACAGACCAGCGACAGGGGAATAAGGGTGTGTAAATCTCTATTTTATTAGTTATGGGCAGGTGGAGGGAGCAAACTTTTAAATTGTTACTATAACACTAAAGCGTTAAAAATGCATATTTGTATCCCTAACCTTATAGTCTTCCTTAAACAACCAGTTTAGTACATGTAAAATGTTATGTATTTTCATAGATGCCTGTCTTACCCTGCTCAGGAGATAAGCTTTAACCCCTTAAGGAACAAACTTCTGGAATAAAAGGGAATCATGACATGTCACACATGTCATGTGTCCTGAAGGGGTTAAACAGGAGTTGATTTTATAAACAAAGCAAAAGATAAAATGAACATTTATAGTGTTATTCGCTAATCTCTGAATTGTAGCAAATTGAAATCAAAAGGGCAAACTGTAGGCAAAAATTGAATATTTGGACACATTTTCACGTATAATCACAGCTTGACAATTTTATATCACATTTTACAATCCGGATTTCAATTCATTCTAAATCAGTACTGTGAGTAAGCTCCTCATTGACCCTTCCTGACTCATCTTTAAACTCTCCCATGACAGTTAGTGGTGAGATGTAGACTTGGTTACTGAGACAGTGCACATGGCAGCTCATCCTTTAAAGAACAACTCCAAGCACCATAATCACTCCAGTACACTGTAGTAAGTAGTCAAACTGTTTGTGAATGGTTTGACTTCTTTGCTGGTGTTTACAAGGTACTAACCAATGAGCTAAGCCAAAACCCCAAGGTGTAGCTCTGTCAGAGAGTTACTAGCTCTTTGGCTGAGGTAGTGAAGATGAGGAGCAGTGCCTGGGAGACGTGACTTGAAGTCAAACTGTTTTAAATGGTTTTGACTGATTACAATGGAGTGCGGTGGTCTACACGGCTCTCATGCCATCATAACCACCACAGCATGCTGCAATGTTCACTGTGCTTGGAGTGTTCTTGGGACAAATTTTTCAGCAACAGCTGTTCTGTAACAGCTGGACGGTGACATACAGTACACAGCTGCTTGTTGGAACAGACAATAGGGTCTACAGCCAGCTTGTAAGTTCACGTAATCTGACACATAAGAAATACATTATCACCTGCTGCAAATAAACAATTTAATAAATATTTCACATCATTCAGAGCATTGCATACACTGATTGAATGTCTATAGCAGTGATCACTAACTTGTGGCACCCTATTTGTTGTGGAATATATTTACCATGATGCACAGCGAGTGAGAGAATGCCACGTGTTAATCATCACTACTTTAGTTATCCTAGTTCAGTCTGGTTCGGTAATGCCCACTAAAGGTTTCTAGCATTCGATCAATCATTTTATACATCATTACTTACTCCAGCTCTTTGCTGACTGGAGAGTCTTTCATCGTTTCTTTGGTCTCATCCGCGGCCTCCTCCATTTTGTTGAGTGTCTGCCAGAAGCTATCCAGAGCCGTCTCCCATTTTGTCTTGGGGCCATCTCTGGACAAAGATCTGGCTTGGGCCCCTAAATAAAGAAAAGGACAGTAGGTATTTTTCCTATATCCTAAGCGACACTACACACACACACACACACACACACATATATACATATATGTGTGTGTACCGAGAAATGTTTTGGCAAAGAGCAAAGGGTCATATTTATCAAAACAGAAACAGGTGTTTTTCAGGGACAATGCAAAGGTTTGGTACACATAACATATTTCTTAGCATTTAGCACTTTGTCCTAGAATAGCACCTTTTTTGCCTTGAGAAATAGAACCCAGAATCACTCTTCATATGCATGGTGTATACAATGGTTTTTTAACAAAACAATGTATTTTGGTGAACTGTAAAAATAGATTTTCAAAATGTAAGCCAAAAAAGCTAATTTAAAAAAAATTCTCAACCTGAGCTGTAGGATTAATTTTAAAACTCGGGATTGAATTCACTACAATTCCTCGTTTAGTGTACATGTGAGAAATGTTTGTGTATATTTAGTGTATATGTGACATGTAGATATATTGACGACAGCAATAGGAAAAAATATCTAACAAATGTTCTTCATAACTGCACACTATGAAGAAGCTATACTGCACTGTATATTAAGTATTCCCAATAATAATTTGGCATAATCTACCACCACTAAACACTTCAATGACCCTTACTGACATCTTAACAGACAAATACCACCTACATCCCAAATTATTTGCTGTTTGTCCATGCCCTTACACTGCAATCACACAGATACTTTTTTTAAAACTTTCTTACCTTTGTTACCTTTTTCTATACACCCTAACATTCATTCTTCATCTACTCAATAGTCTTCATCCAATACATTCTCCTGCTCTAAACAATCTTGTTTTAAAAGCTTTTTGTTTTGTTTTTACAAAAGAAGATACTGTTTCTTTCTCTGTTTGCCTTCACAGATTTACCATTTCATCCCAAAATGATGCCTTCATACGTCTTCTCCATCACTTTTTCCATGTGCCCTATTCAGCTTCTTTATCGCCCCACAATCTTGCTATCATTCTCCATGACATATTTTACCACTATAGCTCTATCCCACTTCCCAAATATAAAACAGTCCATTCAACACCAATTTCTACAACTGCCCATGTATCTCATCACTTGCCATGGTTCACAACTGCATTCATGTACTACACATGACATAAGATTCTGGGCTGAACATACAACAGAGTTATTAACTAATGTGAGAGTCGCTGGGAATTTAAATTAAATTCAAAGTAAATTTCAAATTTAAGATCAAAATAGAAAAACTCTCTGAACTATAAGAATAGCTTATTTAGCTACTTTGATCTTAAAGTTGAGATTTGCTTTGAATTCACTTTTAATTCAACTTGAATTCACTTTGATTTCCTGACAATCCCCAATTTATTGAATAACCCACCATGTCTCTTCTGCCAGTAAATGTATTATTGATCCAATTTTATAGCTTATAAATGGTACATTGACGTAATACTCACCGGCCAGGAGCCCAATCGTCACCAAGAGGGCAATCAGCTTCATAATTTGTCTTTTTAAAACTCTGAAAAGAAAGAATTTAAAATGAATCTTGGAGATTCTGCTACGAGAATGCGATTTTCTTTCTAACAATTAAGGCAATTCAATAAAAAACACCATATAGGAACAAATACATTGCAATCTATTTACAGTTCTCCTATTGTGTTTGTTCTTCTTTTTATAAAAATACATTTAAAAAAAAAAATTAGCTTTCTTAAACATTTACTTCTCTACTTTATTTTCCCTCTCATTGTACGATATAATTTTTACTATGTCTGTTTTGTTTTATTTTCTTACAGGTATTTTGCCCCCTCCATCCATGACTTACCTCCCCAGTGAGTAGACTGATGTTACTTGAGTTTCTCTCTTTATATAAAGTGGCAGGCAGTGAGCTGTGATAAATCCTTGCACCTTGAGGCTGCAGGCAGACACATAAGCAGTGATTGGTTGGAAGGGGGTGAAGTCTGCTGTGCAATCTTTTCTCCCAATTAACTCTTGAATCTCTGTGACGTGTAAGTCAGAAACAGATTAATGTATGAGAAAACTGGAGGAAAAAGTTGCTCCAAAGTCCAAGTGATCATATGATACAGTAAGTCAACCTCTGGACTGACTCACTGTTTGGTTTCAGAAATAAATAACTCACATTCCCAAAATATGGGACTCGAGAATAAGAGTAAATATCTGTTTTCCAAGGTCGAACATTCATCTGTAATATGAATGCTAGCTCTTCTGACAAGTAATTTAGACCAAGGGTATTCTACAATGAACTGTGTTTTCTTTGTTTTGTGTGTGTAAAGAAGTTTTAATTATAACAATTGATACAACACTTGTGCAGGGCCAGTGCAAGGATTTCTGCCGCCCTAGGCAAAGATCCATTTTGCCGCCCCCTCATGTCACTTACTCACTGACAGACACACACTGGCAGACAGACACACACACACACAAAAACCTCACTAACAGACATACACTCACTCACTGACAGACACACAAACACACACTCCCTGACAGACATACACTCACTCACTGACAGACACAGACAGACAGTCAAACAAGTACACACTCACTGATAGACAAACACACACACACAGGCAGACACTCACTGACATACACACACACACAATTTTATATTTTGAGGCCTATCCATACATACACTCACTCACACACACACACACACACACAGAAACTAACAGACATGCACTCACTCACTGACTGACACACACACACAGACACTTACTGACAGACATACACTCACTGACAGACACAGACAGACACTCACTAACATACATACACTCACTCACACACACACAGAAACTAACAGACATGCACTCACTCACTGACAGACACACACACACAGACACTTACTGACAGACATACACTCACTCACTGACAGACACACAAACACACACTCACTGATAGACATACACTCATTTACTGACAGACACACACTGACAGTCAAACAAGTACACACTCACTGATAGACAAACACACACACACACACAGGCAGACACTCACTGACATACACACACACAATTTTATATTTTGAGGCCTATCCAGCCTCCCTACCTCCCTGGGGTCCAGTGTGGGGCAGCTCCTCACTCCTCTAGCGTGATGTTTAGTATGCCGGAGCTCCTGGCATCACAGAGGGCGTTCAAAGGAGGAGTGAGAGGCTGAAAGAACAGCTCCCTTGCCGCCTGCCTTCTCCAGCCCCCTCTCCTCCGGTCACTGGCATTTGTTGGCCACCTCCTGGCCCCCCTGTAACAGGGCTCCTCTCTGCGCCCCCAACTTCAGGCGCCTTGAGGATCGGCACGGCGTTGGGGGTGGCTGAAGAGCCACTCACCCAGCGCTGCAGCCCCAGACAGTGGCAGGCAGCTCCAGACAGTGGCAGGCCGGCGCCCTAGGCGAATGCCTAGTTCGCCTAACAGTTGCGCCAGCCCTGCATTTGTGAGTGTATATGATAAAAAACATACCCTATGTAAAGATATATAAAATATACTATACATATAGAGTCTTTTTAACCCCTTGCCTGGGACCCAAAATACTTTGAATTAATGTTGTGACCCGTATATAAAATATACAATGAATTCAGTGACCCCTTCTTTCAATGTTATAGAATTAGCATTAAAATACATTTTGCAAAACACCATAATTAGACTCATAAAACAGGGTGAAAGATAATTTGGACCTGTTCTGATATGGAAATGGCCTGGTTCTTTTTGTAATGGCACAAGATGAGCTAAAACCAGCTTGAGATCTGAGCGGGGACCCACCCAAGGCCAGTGCAAGGGTTTTTGCAGCCTTAGGCAAAAAAGATTTTGCCGCCCCATTCACTTTCTTTTACATTTTATTTATCTTTTTAAACACTGAATCATTGTAGGGACAGAAACACTATAGTGTTCAGAATACAGGCTTAGATTCCAAACACTAAAGTGTTCGTTTAAAAGTATTGTTTTTTTAAAATTTTGAAATTAAACTGTCCTGAGTGCACAAATGCAATCACATGCGCATACATACATACATGTTCACAACCAGTGACCCATGCACAGACAAATTCACTGACCTATACAAACTGACACACACACACTGACACTTGAGGAGTGATACCCACACTGACTCATGCAGACACACACACTACTGACCGATGCAGACACACACACACATTGAACCATGCAGACACACACACACTGATCTATGCAGACACATACACACACTGACCCATGCAGACACATCCTGATCTATGCAGACACACACACACACTAATCCATGCAGACACACACACTGATCCATGCAGACATACTGATCCATGCGCACACCCTGATCCATGCAGTCACACACAGACTGATCCGTGCAGTCAGACACACACACACTGAACCATGCAGTCACACACACACACAATGATCCATGCAAATACACACACACAAACATTGATCTATGCAGACACACACACACAAACAGACCCATGCAGGCAGACACACACACTGACCCATGCAGACTGACACACACACACACATACATACACAGACCCATGCAGACTGACACATGCACTGCTCTGACCCATGCAGTCACACACACACTGACCCATGCATATTAACACACACATTGATACATGCAGACAAACACACATTGATACATGCAGACACAAACACACTGACCTTTGCAGGCTGACACTGACACAAACACACACTGACCCATGCAGACACACACATTCTCTGAAACACACTTACCTTCATTTCAAATATCAGTTGTCCCCATGTACAGTGCAGGGGACGGGAGCGAGTGAGAAGTGCACCCAGTAAAAGGCTTACTGGGACACTCTGCCGCCTTGCCCCACTTCCTCCTTCCTTAATCCTACCCTCCCATGTCCCCACGCACAGGGCAGGGGGTGGAGCACACGGATGTTGTGCCCGTAAGCTACATCATGGGATGGGGATCTAGTACAGCCAGGCGCCGGCATGCCTGGAGTTAATTCTGCAGCTTGTAAGTAATGGCTGCACTGTGGCCACTGGCACCTGACTGCCATTCTGATTTTATTTTTACTATTTCTGGCCATTTGGCCAGTTTTAAAATTCGTTACTGGGTCTGTCTGGGCTGTCCAATTGCCCGGACAGTCACAAACACCGTTAGCAGCAGGCTTGCCAGAGGCGCCCCCATGAAGCTGGCGCCCTTGGCCACTGCCTAAGTGGCCAAAGGAAGCGCCGGCCCTGGGCCCACCGAAGGGCAGCCTATTTGAGATGTTGTCTGTTCTCAGTACTCTCTTGCACCTTATATTTTGCTAATTAGGCTTGTTTCACACAATTATTCGCAAAAGTGAAAATTCTTGGGGATTCAGAGTTGAATTTAAATTTTAAGGCCATAATGGTCGAACTGGGAAATTTTGGCTACTTTGGTCTTGGATTTGAAATTCACTTTGAATTACCCACAATTCACTCTTTAGTAGATAACCCTGTTAGAGTCGGGGAATATTTGTTGCACTGATGAAGACAACGTCTTTACAGTAAACATCTTAATGTGGGCAGCTTCACGTAGGCTGATAGATACAATATGACTGTTCCATGTGCTGGGAACCTACTGAAACAGCATGGGAAATCAAATTTGGCTCTCAACAAGGAGTTAAGAACTTGAAAGAAAGAAAAATGAAAGTGTTCTTAAAAAGAGTGTTTGTCAGAGTTATTATTGTTCAAATAAAAAGGAAAACAAAATGCTGTATGAATGAGACTGGCTGATTTGACAACTTTGGTTTTAAAATGTAGTTCAAAACTTGCAGCTAGAACAATTCCCTAACTCAGCTTGTCCAACTCGTGATATGTCTACTGAGCTTAATTAAGCTTGTTTTCTTTCTTTCTTTTTTTTTTTAATGGTGTTATTCAGTTTTTTTTTCCACTATACAATGGTGGCGGAACTATAAGTGGTACAGACATTGCAATCGCACTAGAGAATCTGAAATTTAAGGGGCCAGTTTCCCTCTCACTGTGAGAATTAGAGTGTTTAGAGTTCACTGCCACTAGTTCCTGTAGCAAAACAGAGAGAGAGAGAAGGCCACTGGGAGTCTCTTTTGGAGCCAGGCTCATTGTGGCCTGAGAAGACATTAGCAGTGTTCACCAAAGCCTGCAAGGCAGGACACAAGAGGGAGAGCTGAGTGCACCTTTATGCTTGTATCTATGGGGGTGTCAGGGAGTTGGCTCAGTCCGGGCCGGATTAACATAGGGGCTGATGGAGCTGCAGCTCCAGGCCCAGGCCCAGGCCCAGGCCCAGGCCCAGGCCCATGGAATAGGCCTATTTAAAAAAAATTCAATTATTTTACACACTACTCTTAGGTTTGCCACCTGATTTTACTGGCACAGACGGTATTTGAGGCTGCCTGGCCATGCCGGTATTGCAGTAATACCGGCAATACAAATGCAGATATTTTTCTCAGTATAAACGAAGATTACTCTGCAATACCAGCACCAGCAAGTAGGGGCCACTGTGCGTGGAGAGAGGCAGGTATAGGAAGTTACAGCATATCCCTCCCTGCCACTCTCTACTCACTAATCCGCAGGGGGCAGCTACACAGCACAGAGAGTTCAGAAGGCAACTCCCAGCCTGCAGAGACAGACTACAGCTCAGGGAAGTGAGGGATTAGGGGAAAGGCAGCAGGGAAACATAGGGACACTGAGACACTATGGGGACACTGGGAAACATGGGGACACTGGGAAACATGGGGACACTGTGAGACAAGGGGGACGCTGTGAGACATAGGGACATTGGGATACACATTGGGACACAGAGACACTCGGGACACAGTGTCTCCATGTCTTCCAGTGTCTATGTCCTCATGTCTCTCAGTGTCCCCATGTTTCCCAGTGTCCCCAAATCTCCCAATGTCCACATGTCTCTCAGCCAGTGTCCCTAGTGTCTCAGTGTCCCCATGTCTCTGGGAGAAATGGGGACACAGACACTAGGGACACAGACACATGGGGACACTGAGACACTAGGGACACTGGGAGACATGGGGACACAGACATTTTGGGACACTGAGACACTAGGGACACAGAGACATGGGGACACAGACATTTGGGGACACTGGGAGACATGGGGACACAGACACTAGGAGACATGGGACACAGACATTTGGGGACACTGGGAGACATAGGGACACTGAGACACTAGGGACACTGAGAGACATGGGGACACAGACACAGGGAGAATAGGGGACACTGGGAGACACGTGGACACTGAGACATTTGGGGACACTGGGAGAAATGGGGCCACTGGGAGAAATGGGGACACAGACACTAGGGACACAGTGTCCCCAAATGTCTCAGTGTCCACATGTCTCCAAGTGCCCCTATGTCTCCCATTTGTCTGCACTAGACCGGAAATAATGACAAAATCCCCCCTTTAACACCACCCACACTTAAACATAATAATATAACTATTACTATTTTAACGCTGCCACCACCAAGACAATTTATAAATGGGGTGCCTTGGTCCCCCAGGTAAATCAATAATAAAACCCACCAAATATTACTTAGCACAATATTTAAGGAATTATAAAAATACTAACTAGTCTCTTCAGGTAACGTGATTCTTAACCAGACAAAGGCAAAACTTAATAAATGAATGTTTATTATGAGCAAAAGATAGTCACAGTGCATATAAAAATATATGATAAACAAATTATTTACACCAACAACAGATAAAAACAAAAAGGATAAAATACAGAAGTCCTAATTACTCACTTAGGTTTTCAAAGTACAACTTCTGTCCAGGGGGTCTCTGGCAAGGAAAGATGGTGACTCACTCAAAATTAGATCTTGGCCCCAAGCAAGTACACAAACACCCTTCAGGATCACAGGAGATATACCCTGTGAATTGCCACGCCTCATCCAGGGGTGGAGCAATAGGGATACTAAGTGACCACCTCCTTTGTTCCAGAAACCAACAACCCACATACAAACTTTTGATTTTATCTCCTCTACTGTACTTGCCACAGAAATAAAAATTGCCTCTATGAATTTGTTATTGTTTTCCCATTCCAAAGACATGTTGCACGCCCCGCCCACGATCCAATAGGATGGACATCACAAGTCCTGCCACACGGTTTAAGTTGTGCAACTCATGTTTGGGCTTAATTAAAAGATTGGGCTTGTCCCATTCCAAATATAATAAAAATGAGGCTTAATTATTAACCTGTGGGTAAGTATGAATGTTTCACTTGGATAAGATACTGGAACACAAGGATCTTCATGAAACGAATCCCATTACCATTTCAAATGATTGAACTATCCTTTACAAGGTACATGCCAAATGGATGAAGAGACATTCAGACTTTTTCCAAGTGTAGAACCTCACACCTTGCAGAGCCTTGATTACTTCACAACCATATAGTAAAATCCTTTTCACATCCCTATGCCATTCACACTACCCCTTCTGTCATCTGACCTATGTGGGGGTCCCAGCTCAAAAGATGTAACCCCTGTTGACCTCAGCAATAGCATCTCTGTAATTTGTGCCATTTACTACACAAATTACATTAAAGGATGATATTCCATAGTGTAATAATAAATTATACACCCTTGCCGTGACAGGGGACACTGACACTGTGATACCCATAATAAACCGCCTGAAAAAGTGGTGGGAGGACTAAAGGGGACTGTTCCCTGGTGCTTGCGCTGTGCTGCCTGAGGACAGTTCCCTGGTGTCCATGGATACAGGCAGGGCCGGCGCTTCCTATAAGGCGACCTAGGCAGCCGCCTAGGGTACCACAGAGGAGGGGTTGTCCTGCACCCTCAACGCCGGCCCTTCTAATGCATCCGCCTGAGCGCTCTATAGAGAGCCTCAGGTGGCTGCAGCACTGCCTCTCATCAATTTCCTGTACCCGGCCGGACTGATGGGAAGTGCTCACTAAGTGTGCACTTCCTTTCAGTCCGTCTGGGTACAAGAAACAGAAGCTCCTGTACCGCGGACCGGAAAAGAGCACGGCCACGCTACACAGGGAAGGGGAGGTGAGGAGAACACAGGGAGGGGGGGTGAGAAGAACATGGGGTGGGGATGTGAAGAGAACACAGTGGGAGTGTGTGTGAGGAGAACACAGGGAAGGGGGTGTGAGGAGAACATGTGGGGTAAGGAGAACACATGGAGGGAGGGGGGTAAGGAGAACAGGGAGGGAGGGGGCTAAGGAGAACACAGGAGGGGAGGGGGTGGGAGAGAACACAGGGAGGGAGGGGGGGTGAGGGAAAACAGGGAAGGAGGGGAGTGGGGGAGAACACAGGGAGGGAGGGGGGGTAAGGAGAACACAGGGAGGGAGGGGAGGGTGAGGGGAACACAGGGGAGGAGGGGGAGGGAGGAGAACACAGGGAGGGAGGGGGGAGTGAGGAGAACACAGGGAGGGAGGCGTGACTAGAACACAGGGAGGTAAGGGCAAGGAGAACACAGGGAGGGGGTGGTGAGGAGACCAGTGGAGCCAAAGTGCAGCCAGAGCCCATCACCATCCTCATCTGGTTGTAAGTAGGCAATCTAGTATATTATTAGTGACACTAATCTGTAATTCACCTCACATTAAAGGGACACTATAGTCCCCAGAACGACTGCAGCTTAATGAAGTGGTTCTGGTGTCTATAGCCTGTCCCTGCAGGCCTTTTAATGTAAACACACACTGTGTGCAGCACTGGCGTTAGTTCATATGGCCGATCATATGGGTAGGGCATTGTGATGTCACATGGGGTGGGAGCGACAAATTTGTCTTTTGCCTAGGGCGGCAAAAATCCTTGCACCGGCCCTGGATGCAGGTTACCAGGGAACTAAATCAGGAAGGCGGGACAGAAAAAAACAAGGTGCAAGAGACTACTGAGAACGGACAACAGCTCAAATAGCCTGCCCTTCAGTGGGTTCCCTCTCAGATCTCAGGCTAGTTTTAGCTCATCTTGTACCATTTGCATATAAGACTGATCCCACCCAAAAAGGCGGTCCAGATCCAAAATGCAGGCATATCCCTGAATCCCTCAAATGCCACACAGACTGATTTCTAAACACAGAAGATACATTTTTTGCAGGGAAGCTCTGTAATGGCTTGATAAAGGTCATGGTTTGTGACCTAAACGTTGCCTTGTGAAATGCTACATTAAATGGCTGCCTGTCTTTAATAGTTGAGTGCCTGGACAGTATTTTGTTTGTCATTGTCAATATCATGACAGTGTTTTATTGTTACTGTGTCTTTTGTCCTGACGGTATACCTGACTCCTGATGTAGTAATGTCAAATTATCTTCCCTGTTAATTATCTTTATCCTGACTAATGCAAATTAAAACATAACCCCTCCGCCCAAGGGTTTTTATTTTATTTTTAAAAGGGAGCAACTCCTCAAAATGGACCCTCTCCACCTGTCCCCCTCAATACAGCAAATAAACTCTGCCTCCTGACTTTTAAATGGACAATATAGGCACCAAAACAACTTTAGCTTAATGCATGCCTCCCAACCGTCCTGATTTCAACGCGCCGCTTACTGATGCCAGAACCCGAATTACGTCAGGAGAAGAGGCTGGCAAAATGTGGCCACACTAGCGTACATACCGGGTCGCAGGGCAGCCGGGCCCCCTGGAGTGCCGGCCCAGTCGCAGCCGCGACCCCTGCGACCGCGGTATGTACGCCAGTGTTCAGGGCACTAGGACCCTGCAAGGAGTACTGAAACAGTGCTCTCCACAGAGCCTGCCCTCACTGGGCTGACCCAATATGATTGGCCAGCAGCCTGGCATGCATTCATGCTAGACTGACCTGCCTGTAAAGGGAGCAGATCCGCTCCTTTCTGGGTATATCCACCCTTTGGGGGCAGAACAAGTGACATGATTGGGTCACTGGCCGGCCCCCTCTACCCGCTCCTACCAGCATCTGATTCTATGAGCACCAGCTTTGTGGTGTATGTTAGGGGAGTGGTTTTGCTGCATAGATCATAGCCTGCAGTCTAACTTACACATGCATGTGACTTACACATTTCCTGTAAAAAGATATTGAACATCTAAACTTTATTGCACAGTCTGTTTAACTTGTAATTTTTTATTTTTTTTATCTCCAGCTTTGTTAATAGATAGAACCAGGAGCCTCCTTTGCATGATTAAAGTTTAATTTACAGATCAGTAGATAACTTTTAAAGTAAGTTACATCTGATTGAAAATAAAACCATTGGGTTTTCATGCAGGCTGTGTCCGTCACAACCAGGGAAGGTGTACTGCATAAACAGAAACAAAGTGATTTAACTCTTAAATGGCAGATAATTGAGCAGGGAGACTGAAGTGGTGTGATCTATACACAAAAACTGGTTCATTAAAGGACCACTATAGTGCCAGGAAAACATACTCGTTTTCCTGGCACTATAGTGCCCTGAGGGTGCCCCCACCCTCAGGGTTCCCCTTCCGCCCGGCTCTGGAAGGGGGAAAGGGGTAAAAACTTACCTTTTTCCAGCGCTTGGCGGGGAGCTCTCCTCCTCCGATCCGCCTCCTGGGCTGAATGCGCATGCGCGGCAAGAGCTGCGCGCGCATTCAGCCGGTCGCATAGGAAAGCATTTACTAGCGTCTTCTCACTGTGAAAATGAGACAGCCACTAGAGGCTTTGGGGGAAGGCTTAACCCATTCATAAACATAGCAGTTTCTCTGGAACTGCTATGTTTATAAAAGAATGGGTTAACCCTAGCTGGACCTGGCACCCAGACCACTTCATTAAGCTGAAGTGGTCTGGGTGCCTAGAGTGGTCCTTTAAGCTAAAGATTCTTTTAATGCCTGTAGTGTTCCTTTAATCAGTCCACCATAGGTCTCAAAGCATCAAATGTGTATTCTGGTTAGGACTGCCATATCACCGTATATGCAGGACAGTATTTCTAAAGCAGCCTGGTCGTATGTAGTGTTCATGAGCTTTCAATATGAAATCAGTTAATTGATCTAGGTGAATTATTTGAGAATTGTTTATTTATTTCACCCCAGGAGCTTAATGCATGCCTCCCAACCGTCCCGAGTTCAGGTGGACAGGTCCCACTGAAATAGGGAGTTCCTGAATTCCACATACTGGTTCTGTCCAACAAAATGTAGACAAGACGTCTCCCAAAACAATAACATGGCAATCTGGTATTCTACTTCCGAGTCATCCTCTTAATACATTCGTGAAAGCCGCTTCAGTTTCAGTTATCGATATTAACTTGCTGACTACACTTAAAAGGACTGGTGTTGGCATGTTTGTTTACATGTACTCTGTAAATGTTAGTAATAATAAATCATACTGAGATTATAGGAACAATAACTACAATATTTTCCTTTTCTGTCTATACTTTTATTTTTTTCCCTCTTTCCCTGTCTTGTTTATTTATTTATATCCAATTCTTAAATATTGTTATTATTATTTTGCTCAGTTTTAACTTCTATTATTAATAATAATGAAAATAACATGTTTTCCCATTGCTGCCAGTGGGGGATAGACTCGTCACTGCAGCTCTCCAGTGAAGTCATCAATTCTAATGACTTTTGTCCAATCAGCTGCTTTGAAGACACACAACACATCCACCAATCAGCATGCTGTGTGCGATGACGCTGAACATAAAGTCCTTCAAAAACGGAAGCATGTAAGTAGGAAGTGCCTCTAATGGCTTTCTGCTTGATAGCCACTAGAGACGTGTTTTCCTCAAAAACAGCAACGTTTTACATTGTCCAAGACGAGGGACAGCATGTGTGCACTGAAGTGGTTTTGGTACCCAGAGTGTCCCTTTAATTAGTATGAAGAGGATTATCACTGTGATGTTAAAAATCCTGACAGAGATACTTGCTTGCCAATCCCATAACCAGCAATGCGTACAATGTACCACTGCCACGTTCTCTGCTTGCGTATTTCTACGCTCTGATTATTCTAGTTCAACATTGGTTAACCTTGGTAATGTGAAGGATCCAGGACTACATTTCCCATGATGCTCTGCCAGCTTTTAAATTAATGCTGTCTACAAACTCATGCAGTGCTACGAGTGTTATCCAAGATAACTATGGCCTACCACTTGCCTTGCTAAATTAATCTTCTTTATGTCTCACATAGCTTTTGGAGGGACTGGACACCTGATCAGTCAAATAGTGCAATGGGGTAATGACCACATGGATAATTCCAGCAAGGCAGCCCACTGATAGCAGTTGACATGGACAGCTACTGCCACTGGTATTCAGTTATGTATTGAGTATTGAATGTGTTTTATTTTTGTTTCTTAAACCGGAATGAAGAGATTTCTCTAATTTTCAGAGTATGAATAAATTACGTAGGTTATAAAAATAATGCTAATCGCGAACAACAAGCCATTGTAACAGCAAACGTTTCATTGTAGACACAGAGAAGCAGACACATTATTCAGGGATGTCAAACAGGTAGAAGATGTGACATTTACTAGAATGTTATTTCACAATAGCTAAGCTGTATGGTTAGTATTGAATATCCTACGTTATCCCTGCAGTGCCTGTAATTACATAGTATTTGGTATAAATCACACGTTGGATAATAGATTTTCCAACACAGCGTTTACAGCCGTTAACCCAGGAGTTTCTGTGTAATGTGTGTATGATATACACAGTTAACATGTAGAGGTCTAATCTTCACACACTGAAATGCTACTCCAATTCATATTTATTTTTGAACCTTTAAAGGGACACTCTAAAGGAGCGGGGCTTTTCCCCTTTCGGATTACGGAGATTATACTTTAACAAGTTGGCTTGTTTTTAGGGTCAGATCAACCGGACAACTGTCTGAGGAATAACTACACTATCAGCATTCACAGGCTGGTAGGGAAAATAATTGATCCCCCGGACTGGCCCTGCACAGCTCATTATACTGAAGGAACATGTGGTCTGCAGCCAGATGCATGGCACAGTATGAGGCAACCAGTGAACAGTCTGAGTCAATAAGAAATGCAAGACCAGAAGGAGTGCTTAAAGGACCACTATAGTGCCAGGAAAACAAACTTGCTTTCCTGGCACTATAGGGTCATTAGGTCTTCCCCTACGCCCTCATGACCCCCCTCCCGCTGGGCTGAAGGGGTTAAAACCCCTTTCTCAATGCTTTCCTATGGACGTCCAGAATCATCTCACTGTGATTTTCACAGTGAGAATCGCCTCTAGCGGCTGTCAGTTAAACAGCCACTAGAGGCTGGATTAACCCTTAGTGAAACATAGCAGTTTCTCTGAAACTGCTATGTTTTCAGCTGCAGGGTTAAAACTAGAGGGATCTGGCACCCAGACCACTTCATTGAGCTGAAGTGGTCTGGGTGCCTACAGTGGTCCTTTAATTTAACCCCTTAAGGACCAAACTTCTGGAATAAAAGGGAATCATGACATGTCACACGTGTCATGTGTCCTTAAGGGGTTAAAGTGTTATTCCAAACATCTGGTTATGATGTCAGAATTACGCTGGCCTTGTTCCATGGTAATGGGCCCCCTTACCACTAGTTAGAAGAAATCACTTTCCTTAACCCTCTCTCTTAAAGGGTACAACTAACATCAAACTAAGTTATCTTCTGCTGTAATACAGCATACACAGTAAGGGAGCACGAAGACAATTTGTGCCAAGGGAATCAGGACGTCTCATTCCACACTAGACTGCTGTAATCTCTATCCTAATCTAAGATAAGTAGACGTGTTCTTATTTTTTGTCTCAAAATAAATCATGTTTTATTTTTCTTTCTCTGAACTGTATCAGGTTTACATTTGCGTGAACAGTGCATGATTATATACATACACACACATTATGTATTACAGAAAGCTTCCCTGGCAAGCACTGTTTTGTTATTAGGCAAATAAGATGCCGAAATCTGTAGACTGCCTTCTAACAAGTCATTATTTAGTAGGCCAAATACTGCTGTCACTGATTCTCCAAACGTTTTCCATTTAATAAACTGCAGCGTTTATGGAGAATGTTTTTCTGAAGTGGTTGGAATTTGCCCTGCAGGGACAACAAATAAACCTGATGTTGGGACGTGGCAGAACTTGGCTGTGTGATAATGTTTATCATTGAGGTCAAACTAAAAACACTATAACCTGGAGTTACCTTCACCCACTCACTGTGACCAAAAACCTACCAACTTCTACAAATCTCTATAATAGAAACATAGAAACATAGAATGTGACGGCAGATAAGAACCATTCGGCCCATCTAGTCTGCCCAATTTTCTAAATACTTTCATTAGTCCCTAGTCTTATCTTATAGTTAGGATAGCCTTATACCTATCCCACGCATGCTTAAACTCCTTTACTGTGTTAACCTCTACCACTTCAGCTGGAAGGCTATTCCATGCATCCACTACCCTCTCAGTAAAGTAATACTTCCTGATATTATTTTTAAACCTTTGTCCCTCTAATTTAAGACTATGTCCTCTTGTTGTGGTAGTTTTTCTTCTTTTAAATATAGTCTCCTCCTTTACTGTGTTGATTCCCTTTATATATTTAAATGTTTCTATCATATCCCCCTGTCTCGTCTTTCCTCCAAGCTATACATGTTAAGTTCCTTTAACCTTTCCTGGTAAGTTTTATCCCGCAATCCATGAACCAGTTTAGTAGCCCTTCTCTGAACTCTCTCTAAAGTATCAATAATAATAATAACAAAGTATTTAACCAGGAAAGGTACATTCAGATTACTCTGGTTTTCAAGTACATCCTGGCGATGTTACTGTAGACCAACATCCTAGGGTTTGTTACCATTAACCAATTGAATGGTAATCATTTTATCTACCTCGGAGGTATGAAGTGTGAGGCTCTACTCACCAGAACTACATTAAGCTGTAGTTGTTCTGGTGACTATAGTGTCCTTTTAATAACATAACAGTCATCATGCATTGTTGCCCTTTCTAAATAGTGAGGGCAATCTGCCAACAAGGCACATGTAGGTCCTGGGCTACTGGGTATTTTATCAGTGGCACGCTTTCAGTCCAGTCCTGATTTTATACCTCCCAAAGCAGTGAGAAAGAGGAGTGCGAGAAAGAGCAACAGTATGGGGTGATCACTGTTTGGAATGAATGGTGAGAGAAATAGCAAGAACAGGGAGCAGCAATGAAAGAACTGAGGGGAGCAAGTTTGACAGAAAAAAAAAAATTGTAAGAAAGTGCACAAGTATGTATGATTTAAGATTTTAAATTTACCCTGGATTCCCAAATACTCACACTTTAATGAATAACTTTAATTTAAACCATCGCTTGAAGCAGAATCTAGTTTATGACTGGGTTGCTTGACTCAAACAGTTTAGCGATTTTAACCTCAAAAGGGATGCTCTGAGCACACATCTTTATATTTTGGTTTTGGTGAATAGGTACTGGCTCTTCTCTGACAGTGTACATCATTGATGCTTCTGAGAAAAAGCAATTTTGACATTGGGCCAAAAAACAAATTTCTAGTGGCGGTCAACCAGACAGCCACCAGATCCATTTTCTCCTTTGATTTTTAAAGGTCTTCATGGACACCACCAAGCACACCTAATGCTTTTTCTTCTCAAGAAGCATTAGATTGGCAGATCGTGTAGATTGCTGAACATGGTCTATGCGCCCATAGATCATCATGAAAAATGACGTCACACTAGGAAGATCAAGCGGGAGAGAGGAGACATTCCACGGCGCTGGATTACTGAAACTGCAATGATTTACATTCCAGGGTCAAGGGGACAAGGAATATAACAATTCACTAGTGAATACATCCTTCTATATGAACCAAGTTCCTAGGGATTAATCACCAAGCCGGGAATGGTGGAGAATAGGAAACTAGCTAATTAAAGTGAAAAGCAAGCTTCATTGGTGAATTTGTTTTCAAGATTTTAGTCTAGAAAAAAATAAAATAAATTCTCTAGGCCATTATCAATAATACCCAGTCTTGTCGACCCATTACACTTTAAATAACACTCCATTCCCTCCAACCCCAAAATGTAAAAATCATTACAAAAATAAGTTAATTTATTTTCATTAAGGAAACCTGAAGTTACAGGGTGCTAGGGAGATCCCTTCTAAAATACCTTTCCTAAGTGGTTGGTAGTAACACCAGTGCAGCACCAGAGCAACAGAGGCACAACAACAAACGAATGAAAATCTTGCAATGAAAGCTTTTCTGTGTGTATAGTGACACCTACTGGTGGAATCTGAAACTTGTTTGTTAATGAAATTACCTTCTCTATAGTCTAACATACAAGTATAAAAAAAATAAACCAGAAATGAATGCCACCTGTCGCACACGTGCAAGTCCAACCTCACAGACTTGACAGCAAAAACAAAGGACTTGAAAGCAAAATAGCAAGTCAGGACAATGACTTTCAGTCACTTGCATTTGCAGGTCCAAATTGTGATTACATCAGTTTAAGAAAAGTGTAAACTTCCATCCACTATATCAACACTAGGTTCTATTAGGCATATGGCATACAGTGACGGGGGAAAGTATTTTATGATTTTGAACGTTTGTCCACTGACAAAGAAATGATCAGTCTATAATTTTAATGGTAGGTTTATTTTAACAGTGAGAGACATAATAACAAAAACAAAAACCCAGAAAAATGCATGTCAAAAACATTAGAAATTGATTTGCATGTAAATGAGTGAAATAAGTATTTGATTCCCTATCAAATCAGCAAGATTTCTGGCTGCCAGGTGTCTTTTATACAGTTAATAAGCGGATATTAGGAGCACTCTCTTAAAGGGAGGGTTCCTTACCTCAGCTCGTTACCTGTATAACTGTATAAAAGACACCTGTCCATAGAAGCAATCAGATTCCAAACTCTCCACCATGGCCAAGACCAAAGAGCTGTCCAAGGATGTCAGGGACAAGATTGTCGACCTACACAAGGCTGGAATGGGCTACAATACCATCGCCAAGCAGCTTGGTGAAAAGGTGACAACAGTTGGTGCTATTATTAACAAATGGAAGAAACACAAAATAACGGTAAGTCTTCTTCGGTCTGGTGCTCCATGCAAGATCTCACCTCATGGAGTTTCAATGATCATGAGGAATCAGTAAAGAACTACACGGGAGGATCTTGTTAATGATCTTAAAGCAGCTGGGACCATAGTCACCAAGAAAACAATTGGTAACACACTAAGCCGTGAAGGACTGAAATCCTGCAGCGCCCGGAAGGTCACCTTGCACAAGAAAACACATGTACAGGCCCGTCGGAAGTTTGCCAATGAACACCTGAATGATTCAGAGGAGAACTGGGTGAGTGTTGTGGTCAGATGAGACCAAAATAGAGCTCTTTGGCATCAACTCAACTCACCGTGTTTGGAGGAGGAGGAATGCTACCATTAATCCCAAGAACACCATCCCCACCTTCAAACATGGAGCTGGAAACATTATGCTTGGCAGGGGGGGGTTCCGCTAATGGGACAGGACAACTGCACCACATGGATGGCGCCATGTACCGTCAAATCTTGGGTGAGAACCTCCTTCCCTCAGCCAAAGCATTGAAAATGGGTCATGGATAAGCATTCCAGCATGACAATCACCCAAAACACACAGACAGGGAAACAAAGGAGTGGCACAAGAAGAAGCACATTAAGGTACCGGAGTGGCCTAGCCAGTCTCCAGACCTTAATCCCATAGAAAATCTGTAGAGGGAACTGAAGGTTCACGTTGCCAGACGTCAGCCTCGAAACCTTAATGACTTGGAGAGGAACTGCAAAGAGGAGTGGGATAAAAATGTAATATAAATGTGTGCAAACTTGGTGGCCAACTACAAGAAACGTCAGACCTTTGTGATTGCCAACAAGGTTTTTGCCGCCAAGTTAGTCGAAGGGGTCAAATACTTTATTTACTCATTGACATGCAAATTAATTTATAACCTTCTTAACATGCGTTTTTCTGGATTAATTTTTTTTTGTTATTCTGTCTCTCACTGTTAAAATTTACCTACCATTAAAATTACAGACTGATCATTTCTTTGTCAGTGGGCAAATGTTCAAAATCAGCAGGGATCAAATACTTTTTTTCCCCCTCACTGTATATGCCATGTCTCTCAGTAAACCTGATCAAGAGGGATACAGTATCACATTAAAACAAGGACTGTTAAAGCTGAAGCTCCAAGACACACACTGCAATAGGCTCAAGCTTTTTTTGGTGATCTGCTCCTGTCCTTGAATGTGAAAAGGTGCGAATTATCAGAAATTCATGCGAAAATGGTGTGGTCAGAGAGGCATGACTGCTGCATCCGCTCCATGGACCAGCATGGCAATAGTTTCAAACAGTAAGTGTTGTATCCTTAATTATTATTATTGCCATTTATATAGCGCCAACAGATTCCGTAGCGCTTTACAATATTATGAGAGGGGATTTAACTATAAATAGGACAATTACAAGACAACTTACAGGAACAATAGGTTGAAGAGGACCCTGCTCAATCGAGCTTACATTCTATAGGAGGTGGGGTGTAAAACACATTAGGACAGGAATTTGCAATCAAATAAGGAGAGGGCAAGAGACAGGTATGTGAGGTAGGGGTCTTGGAGGCCATAAGCTTTCCTAAAGAGATGGGTTTTAAGGCACTTCTTAAAAGATGCAAGACTAGGGGAGAGTCTGATGGCGGGAGGCAGGCTATTCCATAGGAAGGGAGCCGCCCGCGAGAAGTCCTGCAAGCGCGAGTTGGCCGTACGGGTGCGGACAACGGACAGGAGGTGGTCACGGGCAGAGCGGAGAGACCGAGAAGGGACATACCTATGGATCTGTGAGGAGATATAAGAGGGGCTAGAGTTGTTCAGTGCTTTATAGGTGTGAGTTAGTGCCTTGAATTGACTCCTATAGCACACAGGAAGCCAATGTAAGGACTGGCAGAGGGGTGAGGTGTGAGAGAACCGACTAGAGAGGAAAATCAGTCTAGCAGCAGCATTCATTACAGACTGTAGGGGTGCAGTACGGCTTTTGGGAAGACCAAGCAGGAGAGGGTTACAATAATCCATGCGGGAAATTATTAGAGCATGGACAAGCTCCTTGGTAGTATCTGGTGCAAGAAAGGGGCGGATGCGGGCTATGTTTTTAAGATGGAATCTACAGGATTTGGCAACATGCTGGATGTGAGGCTCAAAGGTGAGACCAGAGTCAAGTATGACGCCAAGACAGCGCGCTTGCAAGGATGGGCTGATGTTGGTACCACAAACTTGAAGGGAGAGCGAAAGAGGAGGATCAGTATTAGGAGGAGGAAAGACAAGGAGCTCAGTTTTTGAGAGATTGAGTTTCAGAAAGCGGAAGGACATCCAGTCAGAGATGGAAGAAAGGCAAGCAGTGACACGTTGCAGGACAGCAGGGGAGAGGTCTGGGGAGGAGAGATATAGCTGGGTGTCATCAGCGTACAGGTGGTAGTGGAATCCAAATGAGGTAATAAGTTTGCCAAGAGAGGCAGTATAAAGAGAAAATAGAAGGGGACCAAGGACGGAGCCTTGGGGGACTCCAACCGAGACAGGGCGAGGGGAGGAGGTATCATTAGAAAAAGAGACACTGAATGAGCGTTGGGAGAGATAAGAGGAAAACCATGAGAGGACAGAGTCACAGAGACCAAGCGATTGCAGAGTTTGAAGAAAGAGAGCATGATCAATGGTGTCAAAGGCCGCTGAGAGGTCAAGAAGAATTAGTATGGAGTGGTGGCCTATGGATTTAGCTGTGATTAGGTCGTTAGTAACTTTGATAAGGGCAGTCTCTGTAGAGTGGAGAGGGCGGAAGCCAGATTGAAGGGGGTCAAGGAGAGAGTTGGAATTGAGGAAATGAGACACACGGGTAAAGACAAGTCTTTCCAGAAGCTTTGAGGAAAAAGGGAGCAGGGATATGGGACAGTAGTTAGAGGGGGTGGACGGGTCGATGGATGTTTTTTTTAGTATAGGTACTACAGTGGCATGTTTAAGGTCAGCAGGGACGATGCCATAAGAGAGCGAGCATGTCTGAAGGGTAGGATGATACCTCTGCTCTGAAGATTCAGCAGGACTTGGTTGCTCGGGAGTGCTGGGTGTCCTTCTCTGTATCCTGGCATGCAGTGCATGTAGATACACAGCACTTCCCAACCGTATAGCTGGAGGAAAGATACACTGGAAGCTGCAGCCAAAAGAGGAACAATAACTCCATTAATGGCAACAGCAAGGGGTCACTGCTGTATGCTCTATAATGTTTTTCACTAGTTGTAAATAAGTTGCCATATGATTGATCTACTCCCTCACAGAGCTATGTTAATGGTCATCCTAAAAAAATGCATAGATATTAACAGGGTAATGAACTAAAGTGAGAGTTCAAAGTCAATTTCAACTTAAAGGTCAAAATGGAAAGCGGAGTCAGATATGCTTTCAGTTTAGCTACTCTAACCTTCAATTAGAAATTCACTTTGAATTCTCACGTCAGTAAATAGCTCCGTAAGACTAATTCCTAGTGTAGTTTATCAGCACACCCCTTCACATGGCACCATGGAGGATATGAAGAAGTAGATGATCTTGTTATTAATACTAGTGTAGATGTTCTGGGTGAGCATCTTGGGAAATACCATCCAGAACACCTAACTGGCCCTAGCATTACATGTTGAAGCGCCCTGCCTCTGGTCCAGACTTCCTCTATGCCCCAACAATGGATTCCATGTGCCTAGAGGACAGATAGTGAAGCCTTGCCACTCTCTGCTCTGACACCAGAATACTCTGTGTCTAAAGTCGGCTTGTGAGCAAGGGTTTTATATACTTGAAATCTCCAGTATATAAATAGATGTGGGGATGGTTTTATAGAGTGGTGCTATGTCTTTTTAAAGATGGTGGGCAGGCACAACCTAACCTAAAGAAACACATGGCGTGTCCCTGGACACAAACTCTTCTTCAACTTATCATCCAACCTGATGCTTCTCATAGAAAGGCTTTGGTTATGAGAAGTGCATGACCAGCAAGTAATGCACCCCTCAGTTTAAATGCTTCTCAGAAAGAATCATTGAATCTAATGCTTCTCTATAAGCATCAGAGGAAATCTGACATCCTTAGGGAATGCGTGAGGACATTGAACTTGCGTAACAAAGTCTGTCTCAGTCAGTGGCGGATCCAGAGCCTCATCTCGGGAGGGGCACTTGTAGATTATTAAAAGAAATAATCCAGACACAATAACCACTACAGCTCAGTGTAGTGGTTTTGGTGTCAGTAGTGCCGGAACCCCCTCCCAGAGTAAGTAGTCAAACCGTTTAAGAACAGTTTGACAACTTACCTGAGGTCTGCTGGGAAATGGGGCTGTAGTAGGGCATATGAGCAGTTGTGCGGTTGAGGGGGACAGTGTGTGAGCAGTGTGTGAAGGTTGTAGTGTGTGTGTGTATGGGGGTAGTGTATGTGTGTAGAGTGTGTGTGTGTGTGTGTGTGTGTGTGTGTGTATGGGGGAGCAGTATGTGTGTGTGTATGGGGGGGAAGTGTATGTGTGTGATAAGGGTTGGGGGGCTTTCTTTTTTAAATAATATATATATTTTTTTTATTTAATTAAAATAAATATTTATGTCCCCCCCTCCCTTCTTACCTTTACTGGGAGGAGGGGGGATACTTAGTCCCTGGTGGCCCAGTGGGGAGAGTGGACGCTAGCCCGCGCTCCAGGGCTAGAGTTCACTCTCGTGAGATTTGGATCGTGCTCGCGAGAGGAGGACCCAGAGGAGCTGCAGGCCGAACTCCTGGGTCCCCTCTCTCTCTCCCCCCCCCCAGTCCGCAGACACATTGCAGGGCTGGCGCCTGCATGTGCTGGCAGGGGAGACAGTCTGTTTTCTCAGGAGGGGGGGAGGCAGTTGCCCCATTGCCCCCCCAGATGCACTGTTCTCAGTTGTGGGTACAGGCATGCCCAAAAAAGTAGCTCCCCAGATGTTCTACAACTCCCAAAATGCTTTGCATGCCTTTAGAACAGGTTTGCCCAAAAGGTAGATCCCCAGTTTTAAAGCTACAACTTCCATGATACTTCATCATTCTAAAGACATGCAAAGCATCATAGGAGCTGCAGTTCTACAACACCTGGGGATCTACATTTCAGGCACCCCTGATCTAATGGCTGTCAGACATCCACCAAAGTTGTTTTACCCCATTCAATGTAAACATAAGCGTGTCTCCAAAACAGCAATGCTTTACATTCTAGGACAAGAATGACAGGACCACTGCACCAAGGCCACTCTGTTGAATTTTAGTTGTCTGGGTGCCTATATAATGCCTTTAATACCAGAGATGAGAAATGCAAATAAAAAAAACAACCAGAGTTTTTAGGTCCTGACCAAAAGAAGACAATATTTACATACTGACAGAAGACACAAGTTTGAGTGCAAGGAATATCCGTTTCAGAGGGACAGTTTTGAGTGTCAGGTGGTTGGAGCTGGATGAATTCGACGAGGGCAGGCTGCAGAGGTTTCAGCCCAGGGAATTTACAGCATCAAACATAGCAACACATTCACTACACACATTTGTCTTCTGCTGCAGTATGTATATGCACCTTCCCTGCAAAGACTGACTCTTTTACTTCTCTCTCTCTCTATACTCAAAAGAATTAACAGAGCAGTATATCTCCTCTACATCAATTCGCTGAGAGGCAGTCATTAACAAAGCTGCATCTGTCCGTCTGTGAAGTCCTTTTCTAGGTGTGTTAATTTTCATACACTAAACAATGCATAATTTACAACAATTTGTCAGATATGTCTATGCTTTTATTTATTTTAAGGTATTTCTAATAAATTAAAAATGTATACTTAAAACTTACCATGGAGAATACATTTAGCTTGCCGAAGTGGTTATGCAGCAGCTGCTTAATACCTCCTAGGTTCCAGCAGAAACTGAAATACCAGTGTATTTTGGTTCATCACAAATCTAGTACCCATGAATTTCCCAGATGACATGCTTAAAGCACGAAACACATGAGACTGTTGTCCCGGTTGCACTCTTCTCCAACTCAAACTCATCTGAACCCTTTGGTACGATTTGCACAGTGTATTTTACAATCTACACTTCCCCAAGATCAAGGTTAATGTGATATTTGTTAAAATTAGCTCTGCACCATCACCTCCCCCTCCATGAGTGTGTCATAAAGATACATTTCGAAGAAGTTCCAACGCAGTCAAAATATATATCATAAGATAAAGTAGGGACTACTTTGTCTTGTGCATTTTTCCTACACCTGACAAAGCGCAGAGCTATCACTGTCAAGTTTTGTCATTTCCCCTCAGCTGTCACTAATGACAGCTGTAAGGAAAAAGGAATCGTTTCCTCCAGAAACATCATGCACGAGAGCACAGCACTGTGGTGGGCTCCTGGCAGATGAAGCACCAAGAGCTGAAGCGCCCAGAAGGGACATCTTCAGGTAAGTATGTATTCTAAGATTAAAAACTGCACCACATTGATGTTACCATCTGCCTAAGGAGACAGCGCCGCTTAAAGCAGTATGACTTTTCCTTGTTTGATTCCCTCAAGGCCTCTTTAAACTCAAAGTAATTCAACAAGCTTTGCGTTCTCTAGAAAACTATACTATGGTATGTAAATTAATCACAATGGTGCAGAGCAGAAGTCAAACATTGAGATGCCCACTGCCACAGTTGGAATCACAAACATCACGATTCTACAAAGCAGGGAAACAATATTCCAATCACCTCCTTTCAACAATACACCACGTAGCTAGCATACAATGATGATTCAGTGTCATTGTGAAAAAAATCATGTTTGAATAAAATCTTTTAATATATCTACTAGTCATTTGGTACTACAAACTGAAGCACCATTCGTTGGAAAACTTTTATAGATTCCAGCATCAGCAACCAAGGTTGCAAGGTCGGTAACGGATCTGGCTCCAGGGGTGTACGCTAACACATGGATTAATAGGACGGAAAGATTTAATTTTTTTTACCCACTGGTAGCACAGGTTTGTAAACAACATACTGACATATTCATATGCATCTAGCACAGAACAAACATCATTACAAACATGCCCAATAGGATCAGACACACTCATTCATATATCAATCACCACAATTGCATGTCATACACAGCAGTTTACAGTATGTAGTATCAATGGTTCTAAAGGTACATGCTTTTCAAAGAAAAGCAATTTACTCCATCAGTGGTTGAGACCGTCCCCTCAGGCTTCCTCTCACTAATGAGAAATACTTTTTTTTTTTTTTTTTTTAAATATGATAATTATTAATTCATGTTCCAGATGTCTGAGTTTCTGGCCAACAGCTAGAGTGATGAGTGTGCAGACATATTAAAACTGTAAGATCCTAGATAAGGAGACTTGTATTTTGATCTCCATTTCATAATTGCGTGAAGAACCCACCAAGGGCAATCTGCCCAATGTAGGTTGGAGAACACAGTAACAATCCATTAGGAGCCATTTGCAGAAGTCATTTTATTGATGCTGAATGTGCCCAGCTATGACTCTGCTTTGGGCTTCACTTCGGTTTTATGTAAAAGATCAGTGTTTGTATAACTTATAAACATGATTTACATCCATGCTGCTAAGGAGGGGCAAAGGCAGCAGAAGGACTAACCCTCCTCTCCCTCAGACAGCAGAACATGGTCACTGAGGACACAGGGCTTGGGTAGTTCTCAAATGACCTCACCAGATTGGCAATTCCCTAGCCCAAACAGGCCATAAAGGAAGGAGCATTAAGAGAAGAAAGGGAGCACTGGGGAAAAAAATTACATGGGGCTGCTCCCAAACAAAAGACTGCAGACAGGAGGGAGGAAACAAAACCCCTTGTGAAACACAGAAGACCATGGAAACACAGAAAGACAGGCACAACAAAAGAAACAAGAGTAGAAAAGAAAGAGAAACATGGTGCCAAATTAACACAGACCGAGGAGAAAAAGAGGATAAAGGCAGTTTCCCCTCCAGCCCAAGGACGTACATAAAAAATTCATAATTTAGATCATTCCTTCACTGCCTCCTTACCCCTAAAAGATGAAAAAAAAAAATCTTTAAAATGTGTGCCTGGCAGGAGTCAGGGGAGGAAAAGTCAGTAAGGAAATCAGGAGGAGGAGGGGGTCAGCAAGCAGAGGAAGAGGCCACATGTCTGGATGGGGACGGGAGACCACAAGATCTGAAGAGGAGGCTCATGTTAACCAATTGTCAGGCCGAAGCCACACTGGAATTTGTTTTTCTTATGGTTAAGGAAGGCTCCCATAGCCAGTGTTAGAGGGAGGGGTGGCAGCTTCTTCTCTAAGGTGGCTCCAACTATCCAGTTACTATCAAAAGAACCTGAAAAGAAATGAGAACGATAATAACTCAGTGTAATAAACATATAAACAAAAATAATAAATCGTAAAAAAAAAAAAATTTAAAAAAAATGACATGGAACAAGAATAAGACTGCCAAACATAACAGAACACTGGGCATAATAGACACAACTTATACCTTTAAATAGCAGGTTTGCCTTGGGAATATCCAACTGATAACCAAAGGAAACACTAGTATCCTGCATGCGAGTGCTTGCTTCAAACTCCACTCCAACCTGAAGCTAGAAATATGAAGAACAATAAGGTTAGAAGATAAGAAATCAGTGTTTTAAGAAAAAAGAAAACCATTTCTGATGCCCTCTGTTTCCTGTGTGAATTCTACAATTAATACTTCACTGAATAAAATGTACCTCGGATCGGAAGTCTGCTGGCTGTTTTGCAAGGAGAATACAATATGTTGGGACCAGCTTCTAGGTATCCAATTTAAAGAGCACATAATTCAGGAAACCTTTAAATTCTCTGACCAAAGCTCCACTTAAAGGGACAGCAAAGTGTTTAATTTCCAAAATAGTGGTTAACTTTTAATCTACTTAAAACTATTAATATACATACGGTGAATTATATTGATATCATCACAATTAAACAGGTAGTCAACCACACAGATTGTATTAAAAAAAATGTGGTGGATCCCATATATTCCTTAAAGCGGCACTGTCACGCCAAACTTGTCTTTCTCCTATGGTTTCCTCTTCTATTCATCTCTCTTCTTTTCTTCCTATGTGATCTAGTTTATCCTATGCCTGACTTTCTTTGTCCAAGTCATGTCTTAAGTCAGCTCCATTTCCTATGTCGAATTGGGCAAATATCGCGGTTCAACTTTCTTTGACACAGCAAGTGGACCTGACTTAAGCTCCTCCTTTGGTCAAAGAAAGTCAAGCGTAGGAAAAATACAAAAGACAAGAGTAGTCCTAACTTTGTCTTTCATTTTTAAGAAAACTAGATCAGAAATAAAGACAAGAAGAACAGATTCTGAGAGAGGAAGAGAAAACAATAGGAGAAAGGCAAGTTTAGCATGACAGTGACGCTTTAACCCCTTGATGATCGATGACGGTTCAGGACCGTCATCGGAAAAATCCCCTTGGGAAAAAATAATTTTTAATAATTAAAAAATAAATTTATATATATATATAAATAATTTTATTCTAACAGTATTTTGATAATATATATATTTATATATCAAAATACACTTAGACTGTAATGATATATATATCTATATATAAATAAATAAAAATATGAAATATACATATGTCCATATACATAATTACATAAATAATTTAATATAGACGTAGACGTCAAATATATAAATAAATATGTATATATATTAAAATTCTATGTGCGTATTTATGTAATATTTTTACCTAATTTTAATGACTGCAATTTGAGAGACCTGCCTGCCAACCCAGGCCGAAAGTCCAGAGAATTTAATTTGCTAGCACTGTGTTTAACCCTGTAACTTTCTATGACACCCTAAAACCTGTACATGGGGGTAACTGTTTTACTCGGGAGACTTCGCTGAACACAAATATTAGTGTTTCAAAACAGTAAAACATATCAGAGCGATGATATTGTCAGGGAAAGTGACTTTTTTTGCATTTTTCACACACAAATGGCACTTTCACTAATGATATTATTGCTGTGATACATTTTACTGTTCTGATACACTACTATTTGTGTTCAGCGAAGTCTCCTGAGTATAACAGTACCCCACATGTAGAGGTTTTATAGTGTTTGTGAAAGCTATAGGGTCAAATATAAGGCTTGATTTTACTTTGTTTTTTTTTTTTATTATTATTGAAATTTGTCAGATTGGTTAGGTTGCCTTTGAGAGCGTATGGTAGCCCAGGAATGAGAATTAGTCCCATGATGGCATGCCATTTGCAAAAGAAGACAACCCAAGGTATTGCAAATAGGGTATGTTCAGCCTTTTTAGTAGCCACTTAGTCACAAACACTGGCCAAAGTTAGTGTTTTTTGCATTTTTAACACACAAACAAATATGAACGCTAACTTTGGCCAGTGTTTGTGATAAGGTGGCTACTAAAAAAGACTGGACAAACCCCATTTTGAATACCCTGGGTTGTCTACTTTAAAAAAATATGTACATGTGAGGTGTGATTCAGGGATTTGACAGATAACGGTGTTACAATGTCACTATTGATAAATTTAAAATAAATATATATATTGAAACAGCAATTTCCTACTTGTATTTATAGTCCTATAACTTGCAAAAAAAAAAAAAATGTTGAATCTATTTAGCAGTTTTTTTTAATTAGCTTTTGTAGGTAAAAGATTTTTCAAGTAAAAGTCCAAAAACATGTTTTGTTTTTTTTAATTTTTCCCCATATTTTATGATTTTTAAAAAAAATAAAATATATGACATGATACAAATAATGGTATGTAAAGAAAGCCCTTCTTGTCCTGAAAAAAACAATATATAACTTGTATGGGAACCGTAAATGAGAGAGAGGAAAATTAAAGCTAAACACAAACACCACAAAAGTGTCAACACTGCTCTGGTCCTTAACGTACAACATCGCAAAAACAGGCCGGTCCTTAAGGGGTTAAAGGACCACTATAGTGCCAGGAAAACATACTTGTTTTCCTGGCACTTTAGTGCCCTGAGGGTGCCCCCACCCTCGGGTGCCCCCACCCTCAGGGTCCCCCTCCCGCCGGGCTCTAGGGTGAAGAAGGGGTTAAACTTACCTCTTTCTCCAGCGCCGGGCGGCGAGCTCTCCTCCTACTCCTAGGCTGAATGCGCATGCGCGGCAAGAACCGCACGCGCAGCCAGTCTCATAGGAAAGCATTCACAATGCTTTCCTATGGACGCTGGCGTTTTCTCACTGTGAAAATCACAGTGAGAAGCACGCAAGCGCCTCTAGCGGCTGTCAATGAGACAGCCACTAGAGGCTGGATTAACCCATTTATAAACATAGCAGCTTCTCTGAAACTGCTATGTTTATAGAAAAAAGGGTTAACCCTAGCTGGACCTGGCATCCAGACCACTTCATTAAGCTGAAGTGGTCTGGGTGCCTATAGTTGTCCTTTAAGGCAGGAGATTTTTTTTTCTTCTCTCTAACGGTGCTTTAACTAAACGATGATAATGTCAATATTGTTAAAATAGCAATTAAATACCAAAATCACATATCTATTTGGTTGGTATGATGAGATTAATCACACATACTGGTGTGCATTTTGCCTTTGACCTATCTAGTTAAAAATCATAAAATGTTTACGTTTAACAGGGCTTTTACTTCCCTTTAAGATTCACAGAGGTTTTAACCATCTGGTCTAGTAGCAAAAATAAGGATAGTGAATAGGCTCATTGTTCTCTTAATACCACCCAGTGTTTTACAGTCCTTTCCCCTACAGTCCTATGAAAGGCTTTGTCATTCATCCTTCAAAACATCAAATACATTTGCAGGAAAACATTTTCTGTTGAATGCAGACAACCGCAGATATGATCACAGAGTGAATACTAAAAGCTACAAATAAAGTTATTCTTTTATTTGGGCCATTGGAGACTAACTCTGATTTGCTCAGTATTTGCTTGATGTTCCATTCTGTAGACTTACCTGTTCGTTGGCTTTATGGTAATACGTTGCATGTGCTCCCGATTGTCCTAACGTTAAAGTTGCTACCCAATTCGGTGCTTTGAAAAGAAGTAATTTATAAATAATGTTATCATATAGTCTATAAAAGAACAGCCACACCAAAAAAAAAAAAAAAAAACCTTAACAAGACTGTCTTGAACACATACTGTGCAACAATGGCTATTCAATTATAATAGTCTTTTGTGAACAATGCAGTGCCATTCATATCTTAACATTCCAAACACTGATTTCCTTTGAAGTAATAACTTTTCACATTCTCCTTAATAGCATGATACATCAAGGTGTTGAGCAAACACTTTTCTCTATTCTGCCATCTTTGCCCCTGCCTAGCCATGTCCATATGAACCTGAATCATGGTCACAATGCCCCTTGAAGTTGCAAAAGTGTAGCGATTTCTCTGTGATTTGTTCCTGTCGGAACCTCTTAGCACCTTCTGCAAACTATTAATGAAGTCATGATCATGAGAGCAAGGATTGGAGTATCTGTGGGGAAAGCGCACTCATGAATAAGTTTGTATTCACAGGGCAGTTACGCATACACCAGCATGATAACATAAAGTTGCTGCATGTAAAACAGGACTACAATATGGGCCCCATATTAATATAAGTGAGGTTAAATCCTCCCTCCTGGCCATACTTCAAGTGCCACGAGCAGGTCACGTCTACTAAACAGCTAAGAAGAACATAGTGTTCCCCCAGTTCCCACCAATTTGCGTGGCTGGGGGTCTAAAATAATGTGGGGCGGACCGATTATTCCTCCTCAATAATAAGGTGGGGGTGGACCCATTGACCATTAGCAGGGAGGGTCTCAAGCCCCTGGTCATTAGTCATAAAAGAATACCCTAACTCCCCCCCTCAACCAAACGGATGGGGGGAGGGAGGAGGTGCAACAACTAAATACTTGAAATCTAACAGTAATTATTACATATTTATTTTACATCTTTTTTCAGCCCCAAAAAAGACCAACTAAAAATCCTAGAACCAAAATCGCAAAAGGAAGAGACAATCGCACACACACAAAAAAAAAACAAAACCTCCCCACGCGAGGGCCCCACGCAGACTGAGCTTGCGGGGCGTTAGAACATTAGCAGCTGGGCAGCAATAGCCGCTGACTGCTCGCTATTTAGTATACATGACCCTACTCGAGGCACTTAGTATTCACAAAGTTCTCTGTATTTTGGTCTTTCAGCTTCTTAGTGGATAGCTCACTAATCCTTGTGGGATTGTAACGATACCAAAAAGGAGCCATCTACTAAACAGCTCCCTAATTTGGTACCATTAAATATGACAATCCCAAAAGGGCAACAATTTGTGGGGTTATGTCTAAAAACTATTTGTAGGACAACATATGAATATTCCATTTGAATTGTTCCTTTTATGTCAGCACCCCCTAGTGTTCAGTAAACAAACCTCAGCCAGTTAAAGTTTATAAAAATATACACTATTGTCTTTATAGTGGTTCTTCCTAGCTGTCCCAGTACTTGCTAGGCAGTAGCATATATTAGTAGTGATAATGTACATTTTTCTTTTTTAATTTAGGTAACCATTATCTGATACACTATATTCATGTAATTGCTTTCTGTAACTGATAAAACTACTAAAAATATGTTCTAAATGAATTTATATTCAGACATACAGAATGATTTCCATTCTGGATTGGCTGTTCCAGCAATATAAATGCTCTTTAGAAAGTATTGTAATTTTCCATTGGACATTGGGATGCCATCCAAATTTTGCTTTCAGTTCTCTAGACTAATTGTTTTAAAAATATGGATGCTTGCTTTGGCTGAGAAGGAAATCTTACCAATTACATGCCCAAATCCCAAAAAGCCAAAATAGACGGGAAATACCTATATTAATTCAACACATTCAATTATTTATAAGTATTTTAAACTTAAAAAAAACTCAATTTAAAAAGGGATTATTCACTAATGTGTGAATGCAATGGATTCTGTCTAATTATCACTGTATTTGAGCGTTTGGTTGCATTTTTCCATTATCTGGTTCTGTACTAGACATCCAAACGGGATAAATTCAGGTTTACATTCTCTGTATTTCAGATGCGGTCTTGCATGATACAGAAACCGAGAACAATGTCCAGGATTGAAAGTCGAAATGCCTCCAAATGGTCCATCGATTATTATTGTTAACCTAGACTAGGGACATGCGGTCCCAAGTGAATAAACAAGAACAGCGTTTTGTATTTCTATTTTATGCAAGAAAGCTTATTACATCAGATACCATGTGTACATATATGCACACACTTAACGGTATGTGAAATCACAACACTTATGGTTCAAAGTGAATTTGTGATCCATAGACACAAGGATAACAAGTTCATTGTTAGGTAGCTATAGATTTAATTAATATACTGTTCAGGCAAAAATTACTATTAAATTATTTTTCTCTACATTAGCATTTTTCAATGCTGTGACCATAAAGACAGACTACTAAAAATATGCCATTGTAAAGGACAGTGTTTAATAAGGTGGGCATCATCTTTAAAGTCATGCATTTGCTTCTAATCTGGGCCTATCTGCATATGACTCAGGAAAGCTCCTGAGTTATAAATTCACATTATGCGAGCCCTGCTGCAGAGATCACGCTGAGAGCGCATTTAGAATCTTCTACGGTCGCTTTGCACATGTCGACATAATTACCTGAGTATCTGCCAGCCAAGGACATTAATGTTCCTTCCTCCCCAGGACGCCTGTGGTACACCAGTTCTCCTCCTAATGCTAGATTTGGAGTAATGCTCTGAAGATAATGAGCAACTAAGATAGCTGGGGACAAAAGAGCAGATACAGGTTACATTCCCAAAATAGAAGACAAGGGAAGCACTATTATTAATAGAGCAGTTACAGGATACCAAGACACATTTATCTATATTTGACCATTTTAGTGGTCATTTATCCCTGCACTTTCTGGGATTAACACTGCTTCTTCCATGCAAGGTGCAACCCAAATGCATCTCTATAAAGAAATGTTGATTGGTGCAGAGTGACTATTGCTGCACATGTGCTCGGAATTTGGGGAAGTTCTTTACATGTTTAGCTGCCATCATATTTTATTACGGTTTTAGCTATTTTTAGATACTGTTATTGTTTATTGTATGCGTTCTTATCTTTTGATCTAGTTTATTTAGTGAACCCAGCTGTGTGTTCATACGCAGTCTGCTGCTCAACTCTCTGCAGGGAGGAGAGAGTCTTTCCTATTATGCGTGTAGATGCTGCATTCAAAAAAGTGGAAAAAAAAAAAAATGTCATAATCCGACCCTGAACGATTTGCTATATTTGTATGATTGATAGCCCTGATCAAAAATTACAGCAGGCTTAACAAACTAAGTATTGAATTAATGCAAAGTGCCTAGTGCTTAGACTGGCTCTTTAACATCATCCTTTTACCCTTATGCTTGACAAACTTGAGGTGACTGAAAAGGAGTCAGAATGAAGCGACCAATTAAATCCCCACAACCAAACATTTCATCAAGAAGAGTAGGTCCCCCAAGGCAAAAATTGGGGTGAGGGTTGACCTGAAACCATGTATTATGTTCATGAGAAATTAAACAAAGAGTAGTAGTAATGTTAAGAACTTCCTTACCTGATCCAACTAATATATCAGGGTTTCCTACTGTGACAGCAGCTGTGAAATCCTCTCCTTTGTATTCTGAGTCTATCTGCCAATTTACAAACTTTGACTGCTGTGTCTGTGAAAGACAGGGATGAGTAAATGAGACCACACAGGAGAGAAAATAAGATTAAAACAGATGGCAGACTCAATACACAATACAATCAGCATGCATAGAAAATGCAATTAGAACAAATATGGGAGAAATTATTTTGCAGTGACATTAAGAAGCTTACGGATAACTAAAGTGGAGGAGGGTCTGACGTGACTCCCCATCTATGGCTTTCCGGCAGCCTCTATCATGATCTCTACTGAAGCTGAAGAAAATATGGTTGGCACTGAGCTACAATACTAGTCTGATGCAAGGTAAGATTTCCCCACATGCCTAATTAATAAATGCTTTACCGCAGAAGCGTCTGTCTTCAGCATTATCCATCAATAACAGGCATAAATTGAGATTGTCCACCTGCTTTTTGCTATCAATACCAACCTCTCCAGCTACCTGGAGCAACACTGCACTTCACCAACTCAGAAGTGCCTTAGAAATGTCCTACTACCTGCACACTTTCTTTTAAATTCAAGGCTACCCTGGCAGGAGTGGTCACAAGAAATCATCCAAACCCATTAGGCAGACTTTGCTACAGCCCTAAACAACCTTATGAATGATTCCTGTCAAATGTGTATCACCTGAGATGTCAAGCTTTCTTAGGTAAGAGCTCCCAAAACAATGTCTAACCCAAAGATTGCCCCCACCCTTAACAATATTGTAAAGCGCTGTAGAATAAGTTAGCGCAATATAAATGTCAATAATAACAACAATAATAAAAATAGAAACTGTGGGGAAACCACAGCAACACTCATTTGTGGGTAGCTTTTGAGAGTCAGGTATTTGTGATGAGCCAAGTCCCATAGTCTGCATGGCTGGTATTACAGCAACAAGGTGAAGATGTAAACCAGTGAGAGAAACAAGAACATTTACGGGCAGAATTACATATAAGGGAACATAGGTAGCAAATAGGGACAGGGTGGAAATCCTTACCTGTAAAGCAATCTTTGATGAAATTTGTTGGGTAAGCTGATGAATTATCTGTGCGTTGAGGCTGCCACTGTTGTCTATGTCTCCAACTAAAACTGGAAATGCCTGAGGGAATAAAGTGAATGGAGCAGGTTACAAGGAGTTTGCACGTCGCTTGGATTGCAACCCAATACTGCCATGACAGTTTGGTAAGCCTAATTACTTGTTAGAGTTACAGGTAACGCATGCAATGGACAAAACCATGGGTAAATATTACTGTAGATATGAAGTAGGATTGTGAAATATTGGGATGCAGACCCTAGACCTGATGTAATTTTTGAGCAGAAAGATCACATTTGTGAAAAACAATATTATTCCTAATCTATTTAAACAGTTTTGAGATGTGTGCCCGGTAGAGATGGTTCCATTGCATTATTTGTAAATGTGAATTTGAAAGTGGGTCTTTTGTGCATAATGCACTCTGCAAATATACTGAAAGGGTTACACACACACACACACACACACACACACACACACACACACATTTCCAGGAGTGGCTGGCTCAATTGTTCCAAGATTTTAATATTAAAAATACATAAAAAATAAAACCACTTACAAGTTTTAATAAAAACCTACAGGAGTAAAAGCTCCTCTTATGGATACAGGTAATACAGACTCTACGTAAACACGCATTATAAAACTGCAGCTAATCAGAAAATACAAAACACTCACCTCTGTTGGGCTCACTTGCTTTGTTCCTACATACGTGGCCCCAAAGTGATAATTGGAATCTCCGACAGTACTGAGAGAAACCGTGTGGTTTACCTAAAAGACATTAATATTGAGAAATCAATCAAACGTGAAGATGATAAACAACTACACACACACGCAGACTATTCATTATCGATAATTTAGCACCTCTATTCCAATTCTTTTCTGTGTATCCCTTTAACTCTTACCGACAGTGACCACTAAAAACATTTACAATTGTGTATTCCAGTACTTCAACTTTAGTCCCTAAAGTGCTGCGTTCAGAGCAAAATACCTAAACCACCAGTTGAGTTTGGCATATTGCAAGGTTTAAAAAAGGATGTCATATTCTCAACAGAAAGTGTTAAAAGCAATTTGGCACAGCTGAATTTTGGTGACGCTATATAATATTTTTAAAGGGCAGACTTTTAAATTTAGTTTTTTGCTTGAAAATGGTTTGACAAAAACAGAGCCTTCTTGCACTATAATGATCTGTATATGTTAGAGTGCTTAGAGCATGCCTTTAGGCATTGAAACGATGGCATGCTTAAGGGCATCACAAGAGTTACATATAAGCAACATCAGTGCTAGCACCAAACATATGGATGGGAGAGAAGTAAAGGTTAAAATGGCTCAGCAGCTACAGACATGGGCAATATAGGCAGGAATATCTGCAATAAATACAACAAATTTTTGTACATTTTAAATAATTATCTACAGAAAAAGGAAAACAACAGTCCTTTAACCGATGTGATTCGAACATGCAGCCCGGAGACCTTTCTATTGCCTAAAATTGTCCAAGGTACTATGGGTCTCTATGTTCTCCTTGCATGACGATTAAACAGTGATTTGCGCTGGTTACACAGTCTCATTATCAATGTCAATATTATCATGATCTTAATATTCCTTAACTCTCTTACTTGGAAGTAGTTGCTGAGTCCTTTGTTTACAGTAAGTTTCACGCCTTCCATCTGAATGGGGAATAATTCTGGAAGAGGCAAAAAAAAAAGGGAAAAATAACATCAGAAAAAAACAGCTATTTAAAGAGCAATAAGCTGGGAAAAATGGGGAGTTGGCCGAGGCAGATTACAAAGAAGACAGAACTTATTATTCGGATAATACAGAAATTTATTAAAATACTTTAAAAGTGTAAGAAGCAGCAGTCTTGATGCTAGTTTCAATTCTCCATTATGTTTGCATTGTTTTTTTAAAAAGGTATACTGTGCGACAACACAACACAAAATCTGTTCATTGTCATTTTTAATTTCTCTATTGTCTCATATGATTTTTAAACATAAATCAGACCAAACGGATTTCTTTTAAAGGCTCACAGATCCCCAACTGTTACTGTGACTTTTATAGCAGGCAACCCGAAAAGGCCGATATGGAGTGAACCTTATGGGTGAGACCAGGAAGACTCAATTTAATACCAGCACAATATTGTGGATGTTGTTGATGTGGAGCTCTCTGATGTAGTGCTATACACGGTGTGTGAAATAATGAAAAAGTGGAAAACACCCAGAATACGTGTAGGTTACTATATAAAATATATAACAACCTGATGGAAAGTGAAATCCGTATGAATTCTGTATAAAAATCAGAAATTTGACATAGCGTGATACAGTTAAGTAATTCAACTTTATGAATAAAAATGCAACTCCATGCAATGTTGTTATCAATCCAGGAATAGGGATGAACAGGAGTAGTTATAAATGAGTAGCCAAAAATCCCTGATGAAGTCCTACACCCTACAGGACGAAACGCGTTGGATTTCTATATTGGACTTATTTTATATTGTTTTAATTGTTTTATTTGTATTTTTGGCTACTCATTTATAACTACTCCTGTTCATCCCTATTCCTGGATTGATAACAACATTGCATGGAGTTCCAAGTTATTGAGAGATACGCTCTTTGTGATTTACACACATGTAAGTGTGACCAATAAATGTGATTTTGTACTTTTTATAACAAACTTCACTATTCTGTTTTTTCCTTTATTTTTATATATCCCATGAGGTAATTCTCTAATTCATCCATCGGATTACATACTGCCCCTGGGTGGGCGAGAAGCTCTATTTCACGCGCGTTTGTGAGTGCATCTATAATCATTTTTATTCATAAAGTTGAATTACTTAACTGTATCACGCTATGTCAAATTTCTGATTTTTATACAGAATTCATACGGATTTCACTTTCCATCAGGTTGTTATATATTTTATATAGTAACCTACACGTATTCTGGGTGTTTTCCACTTTTTCATTATTTCTTGGGTGTCTGTGAGGTACACCTAGGAATTCTTCCAGTTATACGTTTTATTTTGTAGTGTATATACTATTTTCTGTTTATATACACGGTGTGTGGTTTGTTTTTTCTGATGTGAAGCTTAGATAGAAAAGCACTCATACGCTATGAGCTGCTGAGAGCATTAAATGGATACTATAGTGCAGGAATACAAAGCTGGCGTGAGGACTTCCAGCGTCAGATACCGGACCGGAGGTCGGTTACGAACCAGGAGGCACTCAAGTGGCTGTCTGGTAGACTGCCCTTATGGGCAGACTTAGTGCTGTAATGTAAACATTGCAGTTTCTCTGTAACTGCAATGTTCAACATTGCAGCATCAAGGGCAATAGGGACACTGTATCCAGACCACTTCAATGAGCTGAAGTGGTCTGGGTGCCTACAGTACCCCTTTAATGCTGTGCATCTCTGTGATACACTCAAACACAGCTGATTGGTAACCTTAAAAAAAAATTTTTTTAAAAAGGGGTGGGGGAGTGGGGGTTTGAAAACCTTACCTTTACACTTGCGATGACATTGCTCAAATGTACCAGGGTTAGGGAGCTTATCCTCCTGTGCTTCCTTCTTCTCTTCAGTTGACACCAGCCCGCTCACAGGAGGCATTGTAAAGCCAGGTGGAACATTTATTAAACCTGGACTTGGAGAGGACGCTGCGGGAGGGGGAGCCGGAGAACTTGCTGCCAAAACGTTCCCCATGATTACCTTTGAGGAAAGGAAAAAATACATGCAAAAATAAGTTTTTACCCAGGTGTGGTAAGGAACCAAACTTTACTTAAGTCCAAATTGTAGCAAAATTAAAAAATGAATTGTAAAATGTATGTCTAACTAACCAAAGTGTGATAATAGCAGAGTTGTAGAGTGGTTTTTTTTTGTTTGTTTAAATCAGTTACAGCTGCCTCAATTTGTCATTTGGATTTTGAGTTATAGTAATGCAGAGTTCACTAAACAATCCTGTTATTATAGAACATTAAAACACTGAGGGATTTATTAATTAAAAATCCACAATGGAGTGAACTGAATTAAAAAAAAAAAAATGATAGTGTATTTGTCAGAAGTGAGATGTTCTGCCTTCATCGGGATAGATCCACAATACCAATATTCCGATCATCTGATTTTATCCATGGGATGAAACACAGCAAAATAATTTATAACATGATGATTCAATTAATTTTAAAATTGGGAATCCAATGTGAATTTCAAATTTTAGGCCAAAATAGACAAATGGAATGTAGAATGAACTTGGAGAAGTTTTCCAATTGTGCTATTTTGGCCTACAATTTGTACTTTAATTGGAAATTGGTAATTCTCACTTTAGTGAATAACCCTGCTATACACAGATGAAAATAAATAAATGCATACACTGATCAACCACAACATTAAAACCACCTGCCTAATATTGTGTATGACCCCCTATTGCTGCCGAAACAGCTCTGATCTGTTGAGGCATGGACTCAACAAGACCTCTGAATGAGACCGGTTACCACCAAGACACTGGCAGCAGATCATTTAAGTCCTGCAAGTTGTGAGGTGGTGCCTCCATGATTAGATTTGTTGTTCCAGCACATCCCACAGATGCTCAATTAAATTAAGATATGGGGAATTTGAAAGCCAAGACAACACCTTGACCTCTTTGTCATGTTCCCCCAAACCATTCCTGAACAATTTTTAAAGTTTGGCAGGGTGCATTATCCTGCTGAAAAAGGTCACTGCTATCAGGGAACACCACTACCATGAAGGGGTATACATGGTCTGCAACAATTTCTAAGTAGGTGGTATGTGTCAAAGTAACAACCACAGGAATGCCAGAATCCAATGTTGCCCACCAGAACATTGCCCAGAGCATAACACTGCCTCAGCCAGCCTCCTTCTTCTTCCCATAGTGCATCCTGCTATCATCTCTTCCAAAGGTGAATGACACATACACGCACTCGGCCATCACCGGATCTAAAAGAAAACGGGATTCTTCAGACCCGGCAACCTTCTTCCATTGCTCCATGGTCTATTTCTGATGCTCCGGTCCCCATCGAAGGTGCTTTCAGCGGTGGACAGGTGTTACCATGGGCTCTCTGATTGGGCTGCAGCTACACAGCCCCATAAGCAGCAAGATTTGTGTTCTGATATCTTTCTATCATGGCCAGCATGAAGTTTTTAATCAATTTGAGCTACAGTAGCTCTTCTGTGTGATCGGACCATAGGGCTAGCCTTCACTCCCCACGTGCATGAAAAGCCTTGGACACCCATACCCCTGACACTGGTTCACCTGCTGTCCTTCTTTGCACCACTTTTGGTAGGTACTAACCACTCCATAAAAGGGAAATACCCCACAAGACTTGCCGTTTTGGAGATGGAAAGAAACCTTGCCCAAAAATTATGTACAGAAATTAATACATACACAGGTCTTTTAAGGTTGTATACACATTTGACCTCAAAGATAAAGAGCAGAAGAAATAATAATAGTGCAGTACAGTACGTTCAATGAATGAGTGGTGTGTAATATTGTGTACTTTCACTCACATTTGGTTGCATACTGCACTTAATCTGAGACATTTGGGACGCCTATACCATCACATATCCTTAGACGGGAATTGTTCAGTCCATGCGCTATAAAAGCTGAGCTCTGAATTAGCTCAACCAAATGTGAGTGAAAGTACACAAGATCACATACCACTTATTTACTGTATATACTGTACTGCGCTATTATTTATTCTGCTCTTTATCTTTGAGGGCAAATGTGTATACAACCTTAAAAGACCTGTGTACGTATTAATTTCTGTACATAATGTTTGGGTGCGGTCTCTCTCTCTACCCCCCCCCCCCCAATATTCCACCCCTTGACAAAATAATCAATGTTATTCACTTCATCGGTCAGTGGTTTTAGTGTTGTTGCTAATCAGTGTAGCTGTTAGACTACAAATCCACTGACTCTCTGCCAGGTACATATACACTATATTAGGAAGATTATTTGTAGCACAACTGGAGCACAAACTGATGATAACCTCATGCAGGCTTATTTGTTTACACAATCTGACAGTAAAGCCTTACAGATAACCATGGAATATGGCTTACTGAAACAATCCAAATCGCAGTTTCAAATGCAACTGATCAGGTCTAATTTAATTATGCAGAAAATTCAAATACGGAGAAGGAAGACAGGAGTACCAGACAAAAGAGAATCTTTCAAAATAGTTGCACCTCTATTGAGCCTTTGGCTTGATTTCCTATTTAAAAAAAAAACTTCCTGCTTTCTATTGGAAGGACCTCACACCTGCTGTGCCACACCCCAAGCTTTAGTACCTGCAGAAGTAAAAAAGGAAATTCAAAGCCTAGTTCACTCATTTTAAAGCTGTTGGAAGTTGCTGTGCCATGTTCACCTGCGAAAAGCAACTGTTTGGTCCTCAACGGCACAAATAAGTGAATTAAAAGCTTTTAGAGATTGTACTGATGGCACAGAGAATACTCTGCACCCGCTCTAAACTCAGAGTGACTTAGAACTCAAAAACACAACAATAAATAAATAAAAAAAGAGGGAGAAATAACCCCAGCTCTGCTGATCTCTGCATAACAGTTTAAACCTATAGCACATGATTGCAGTTTCACACATCCTATGCAAAGAGTGGAACTGCTCTTGGGGAATAAACTACTTATCTCATAATCCCCTTCTGGAATCGAAAGATCTTTTTATAGCTGTAGGCAGGACCTCTTAATAGAACATATACGGAATGTTTGATATAATGTATTTTTACTTCTCCATATTTTTTGCCAGTCCTTCTAAGACCTTCGTCTTCATGCAGAGTGTGCAGAACCTTAAAGGGAAACTATAGTGCAAGGAAAAGAAACTCGTTTTCCTGGCACTATAGCTTCCCCCTCTCGCGGCGCTGAAGGGGTTAATAACCCAGTTACTTACCTTGGTCCAGCGCAGATGTCCCTCGGCACTGGCTCAGCTTCGCGCACACTCCTACCCCGCCGACGGCCGCCAGCCGGGGACACCTAATGCACATGAACGGCAATGGTCGCGCTCGCATTAGGATCTCCCCATAGATAAGCATTATTCAATGCTTTTCCTATGGGGAAGAATCTGACACTGCGTGAGGACGTCCAGCATCCGGTAATGGACCAAAAGTCCATTTCAATTCCGAAAGTCCCTCTAGTGGCTGTCTTGTAGACAGCCACTAGAGGAGGAGTTAACCCTCAGAGGTATTTAATGCAGTTTATAAAAACTGCAATTAGTACCACTGCAGGGTTAAGGGTGATGGGAGTTTGCACCAAGACCACTTCAATGAGCTGAAGTTGTCTGGGTGCCTACAGTGTCCCTTTAATAGGAAGCACCACATGTGGCTGTCTGAGTAACAGCCATAAGAGATGTTTTTAGAGACAAATATAAATGCTGCCTTTTCACAAAAAAAAAAAAAAAACAGCAAAGCATGCAGGCTAAAAGGCAGAAGACAAACTTTAAAAAAAAACATAATACCTTTTAGCACAAATAGCTAACTTTTAGGTGGCTATTTAGTTGTGCTAACAACAACCAAAAGACAATTCCTCTGGCACAGTCATCCTCCTGTACCCAAAATGAGTATTTCATAAAGATAGAGTCTTTATCAAAGGCTCACATTCCCTGTTGGAATTTCAATGAAATGCCATAACATATACATTGGTCTACTTTGTCTTATTTTTTTTCCTACGCTTAGCAAGCCTCTGTCTATGGAGGACCCTGCGGGATATTCCATAGATGTTGTACTCCCTCGCATGTGCACATGTACAAAGCAGGTGTGACTCCTGGTAGCTTAAGCACCAGGTGTTATTGAGGACTGGCACGAAGAGCATGCCGGCGGCCGCAGGGGACAGGTACAGGCAAATATAACTGACCTTCCCCTACCTCCACGGCTACTGACCTCCAGTGGCAAACTCACTGTCATTATGCAAAGACCCCAAACCGTGACAGAGGCGCGTTAATGTCTCCATGACCACTTCCGCTGTTAGAAGAAACCATTGAGCAATAAATCTGTATCTGCAGTGGTGAAACATATACAGAGATATCTGCAATTTTGTGCCAGGGACTAGTTAAACTCCGGCATATGACATAGGCAACCTTGAACTCGGTTTCAAGCAAACTAATATTATGTGGAAAAATAACATCTCGTCATCACGGTTGGCGTTTTAGAGGTAGATATAACCAACTTCCACCCTTGCAGACAGGGCCGTGAACAAGACTGCATGGGGAACCTCTCTACATCCTATTTACAGGGCTCAAAATTTCCACTCTTTCAATAACCACTGGCAAGAGAAAATCCAACCCAGGCAAACAAATACACTACAGGTAACTTTGAGGCCTGCCTAGTAGTCTAGGACCAGAAATCTCAAACTTTGTTATTGATATAGAGGATCTTTGAAGGCTAATTTTTTTTGGGGGGCAGCAGAAATATTCCATTATCTTTTAAGTGAACCTGCCACTACTTTATTAACTCAAGCTAAATCATCCCCAAATATAATGAATGCATCGTATAAACACACCTGATGTAGTCAATGCATGTTTTCGAGCACTATCTACCTTACCTCCACTCCAGCATAGGGATCGATCGATATCGATTTTTAGAGCAGATACCGATATTCTGTACATTTGCCATTTTGAAAAAATTAACTATTTCTAAAGGTAAATGCACAAAATATACATGCCACATGTAACATGTAGTGGATGCAGTGTGTTTAGACAGGGAGCTGTGTGTGTTTGTATAGTGTGTGTGTAGTGGATGCAGTGTGTATTTGTGTAATGTGTGTATATAATGAATGCAGAGTGTGTTTGTGTAGTGTGTATAGTGAATGCAGTGAGTGTTTGTGTAGTGTGTATAGTGAATACAGTGAGTTTGTGTAGTGTGTATAGTCAATGCAGTGAGTGTTTGTGTAGTGTGTATAGTCAATGCAGTGAGTGTTTGTGTAGTGTGTATAGTCAATGCAGTGAGTGTTTGTGTAGTGTGTGTATATATAATGAATGCAAAGTGTGTGTGTTTGTGTAGTGTGTATAGTCAATGCAGAGTGTGTGTGTGTATAGTCAATGCAGTGTGTGTATATATATAATGCAGAGTGTGTGTATATATAATGCAGAGTGTGTGTGTAGAGTCAATGCAGTGTGTGTGTGTATATATATATATATATATATATATATATATTGTAACCTGTGTGGGTGCATGTTGTCACTTATGTTGCGTTTATTTGTGGGCAGCGTATTGCTGGGAAGGTAAGTAAACGCTTGTAATAGGCCCGTCGGTCCTGTTAGGTATTATCGGCAATATCGGTATCTATATTGGCCGAAACCAATATTGCCGAAAATACAGAATATCGGCCAGACCAATAATCGGTCGATCTTTACTCCAGCGCTGCGATTTTCTGGTCTTCATGAAAACCAACCTCAGGTCCATTCCTATACTCCCATGCCAGCGCTTGCAACGTTGGCTAGGGAGTTTCCATAGCAACTAAAGCACATGTGCTGTAGTTACTTGCTTGAGAGAGCACCTGACTGAGGTCTTTTCTGCTCTCCCATGTCAGTCAAATTGTTGTCAGGGTCTATACCAAAGATTTAACTAACACGTGAGAGAAAGACCTAGATTTTTCTCTCAATCTATACATTTGCTTAGAAAACTGCTAGCACAATGTATGAATTAAATTTTAAGTAAAAAGAGCACAAGTTAAATTGGTCATGACAGGTACCCTTTAAAGGGTTGAAAATAAATGTGTTCTGTTATACGTTATATTACATACAAGACTTAAAGCGTATGTTTAACTATACTGCTAATGCACTGAAAGCATCTATTGTGTAAGAGATTAACAGGCGGCTGGAGACAATCTCTAAGAATCCAGTCACATGAACTCAATGCACAAGTGTAGAGAGTAAAGGCACGCCAGAAGCCTGGGAGTTTGTTTTTATATTGCAATTACTACCTCTGTCTTTTAACTTAATATTTTACATAGAACTGCTTTCCCATATACTCATGCTGGACCCCGAATCCACAGATCACCTAATATTGTCCACAAAGGATTAAAAAAAAAAAAAAAACACTGCCTATCTAATTTGTTGACTGTTACATTGTAAGTTTAAAACGTTCAGAAGAGGACATCATTGATGCTCTACTTGTTCTACAATTGCCAGTCATGGAGGGTGAGGTTCTCTCCACTAACATTGTAAAAAAAACAGGCTACAGGGAAGCGCTTTGTATAGTTTTTTTTAAATGGTGAACTACTTATTACTGTCAATAAAGAATAAAATTTAAAAAAAAAAAACAGTGTCAGCAAGGACACATTTGTACCCAAACCCTGCCATCATGGTACTTGCATAGGTCCCCACCAAACCTTCCAGAAAACATACCCAACACTTGTCCCTGCAAAACACAACGTATTCATGCATTTCACCAAAACTGTCTGGCAATGAACGTACCACAGTCACATCACATTGCTTGTCAAGGCACCTATATGGGTCATTTTACAAGGGGTTTACATGACCCAATGCCTGGCAGTGTATATGCTCAGGTGGCATCATGTTGTACACCAACACACACCTAAACAGATGATGATCCATTCGTCATCAATGCACCAACACAGGTGACAACATGTTGCTAATCACTGCATTAATACCAGATAGTGCATTTGGGGACATGGCGTCCTCACTTGTGTGGCAACATTGGCAAACAGAGTGTTGTCAAATATCGCCTGTGACGACTGCCAACACAGAAGCAATTTTACAGGATGGCAAATAATGCAGCCACACAGATGACAATACACTGCTACCAATGAACCTAACACGAGTGACAATACGCTGCCCACAAATAAACGCAACATAAGTGACAACATGCACCCACACAGGTTACAATGTACAGAGGACAACACATTCAGACGAATTACAACACACTGTCTGCCAATACACCCACTTAGGACACAAGCTTGAAATATGACAAAATTGGAGATTTCTGCCAGTATTGCGATTTTTCAAATGTAAGTACACGGACACAGGTCACTGGCTACATGTGTTTGCTTTTGTGCAGTGCACACTTTGTTAATACAGACATTTTCTTTTGATTACACTTATCAATGTCCATACTCATCATTGGTATTAACTAGTTAGGTACAAGGCTGCTCCTTGGGCTTCTGTGAACAAATGTCTTAAAACTGATATCTGTTCTTTGGTGATGGGCAGCACTTTTGAAAGAAAAAAAAAAAAAAACATTATCTGAAGGCAATGTTTAAAGCCCCCGACTACAATAAGAATGAGTAATGCATCTGTCACTCATAAAGGTAATTAGATTATTCATTTTAATCTAATCCCATTTTAACAAATTGTTGAGAAAGAGTATCTCAAAACTGTAAGAAAAAACACCATTAGTCCAGGTCCTAAAAAAAACTTCTCTCGATCCTATCCCCTATGAAAACGCTATTGCCAGCATACACCAAATAGATTAATACAGAGACTTTATAATATTCATCTGTTCTAGGGACACTCTAATGACCAAATCACCCCCACCCCCAAAATAAAATGTATTTTTAGTAGGTATACCTACAATAAAAAGCATGCATGCACTTAAAGGATCACTATAGTGTCAGGAAAACAAACTTGTTTTCCTGACACTATAGCATCTTTAGGACCCCCCCCACCCTCAGGGTCCCCCTCCCCTGGTGCTGAGGGGTCAGAAGCTTACCTTAATCCAGCGCAGGGCTCCCTTGGAGCTGGTTACCTCTCCTCCCCTACCGACGTTAGCTCTCAAGTGGAGTGTAATGCGCTTGCTCAGCAAGATCCGCGTGCGCATTCAAACAGTCCATAGGAAAGCATTTCTCAATGCTTTCCTATGAACATTCGGCACACTGGATGCGAATTTCGCATCCAGAGTCGGGGAAGCGCCTCTAGCGGCTGTCAGGAAGAGGTTAGATTAACCCTGCAATGTAAACATAGCAGTTTCTCTGAAACTGCTATGTTTACATCTGAAGGGTTAAAACCTGGGGGACCTGGCACCCAGACCACTTCATTGAGCTGAAGTGGTCTGGGTGACTATAATGTCCCTTTAATTATGCATTTTTTTAATTGGGGTATATCTGAAAACTGCTTGCAAATGTTGCAGATTTCTTGTCTGCAGCACTTTCAAGCTTCTAACTTTGACCAGACTTACTGTGGCTGTCCAATCACAGACTTCCCAATGCACCTCAATGAAGTCTTTGCAGGGCAGGTGCTCTGGGCAATTGCATCCTCTTGAGCAGGCTTCCCCAAACTCTGGCCCTTTAGATGTTGCTGAACGACAACTCCCATGATTATCAGCCTATTTAATCCAGAGAATCATGGGAGTTGTCGTTCAGCAACATCTGTAGAGCCGGCGTTCGGGGAAACCTGCTCTTGAATTTAGCTCCACTGAGCTAACAAAATCAGGAAGTAACAGGACCAGTTGCCTGACAGCAGCAGGGGAGGGGGGGGCGTGTAACCGTTTTAATGTATAAAAGCACTTATTTCTATTGATTTCTGTTTTGCCAAGCGGAGAAAAGGAAACACTCTTTGCACAGATCATTTCAGTAAGCTAAAGAGATCTGGAGTGTCCCTTTAAAGAGACCCTCCAGTGCCAGGAAAACAATCCGTTTTTCCTGGCACTGCAGGTCCCCTCTCCCTCCCACCCCCCATCCCCGGTTGCTGAAGGGGTGAAAACCCCTTCAGTGACTTACCTGAAACCCCTGCCATTGTCCCTCAGCGGTGGTTTCTGCATTACGTCAGCCGGTGGGAGAGACTGATCCCGCCTGCCGGCTGAGGAGACCTAATGTGCATGCATTAGAGCTCTCCATAGGAAAGCATTGAAAATACTTTCCTACGGGGAATTGAGCAATGCTGGAGGTCCTCACACAGCGTGAGGATGTCCAACGACGCTCTAGCACAGAAAACCTGAGGAAGTCTAGTAGACAGCCACTAGAGGTGGAGTTAACCCTGCAAGGTAATTATTGCAGTTTATAAAAAAAAAAAAAAAACTGCAATAATTACACTTGCAGGGTTAAGGATAGTGGGAGTTGGCACCCAGACCACGCCAATGGGCAGAATTGGTCTGGGTGCCTACAGTGTCCCTTGAAGTAAGCTAACACCACTTCCTCTGCATTTCACTGTACCAGCCCACCATCAGCACAACGCACATGGCTTATACAAGAGACCTGATAATCCATGCATGTAGGTGGCTGAATGCTTCTGATACCAATCTGGCTGAGCCCTGGTTAAGACCCCTGGCTGGGTGACATGCTGGGTGTAAGCTGTAATCCCACCAATGGCTTACTGCCCCCCTGCATGCTGGAGGATCTCCCAGTCTGTCCATTAACCCCGGGGTTGAAGTCCATGAGACTGAGGGCCTGTGATTCCTCCATCCTCAGCCCCATAGCCCACACAGTCTGCCCATACAGCCTATTATTATTGTCTATAATGCCCCCTCAGGCCTCTGCCCACCCACAATCCACCGCTCCACAGCCCCCTCTATTAACAGGGACCCCCACTGTGCGAGCCTCACCTTGCCTCTCCTCTCTCCTGCGGGCTCTGGGATTTTACCATACACTCACACACACACACGGTACGCTCAGCCTAACTGCACAGCATTCTAACCCCGCCCATTCTCTCCTGCCATTGGAAGACGAAAGCTACCCAGCCCGCTTTGGCTTCGCCTATTGGCTAATCGGCGCCGTCAATCAGCGTGCTGTGTTTGCGGTTCTACCAAGCTTGCTGGGTAGCTCGCTGTGATTGGTCGGGAGCTCTGGCAGCCTCGGCTCGCCATTGGTCGGAGCCGGCATCGAGGTCGCAGTGCAAGGTCATGTGAGCTGCCCCACAGTTCCACGCGCTGCCTGACCTCGGCGGCCATGTTTTTTCCGGGGGGCCGGTTGTCATGGAGAGTGTGACGTCACTGAAGGGGGGGGAGGAGGAGGAGGAGAGGCCTGGCACAGGGAGATGACGTTTGGGAAGGAGTTTCAGAGTTATATTAAATATAAAACATTTAAAAAAAAATAAATAAAAAAAGTCAAATATAAAATAAAATGTAAAAAAAAATTAAAAAAAAAATCTGTTATTAAGAAAAATAAATCAATGCAGCTATTTAAAGAGACAGTATTGCCTTAAATAAGATGCAGACATTTTTATTCATAATAAAGAAAATATATTCACATTAATTTTTTAAGAAAATACTCTCCATTGAAATGTCTCCTTTACAGACCAGCAAAATGGTCATTTTCTGTCATTAAACATCAATTTCAAATATAAGGCGACACCGGTGCGTCCAAGCCTTTTAACATTTCGTGTCGGGATTCTTCACTGAAAGAGTTAAAGTTCTGTTCAGATAAATTCTGTTGAAATGAATCATAAGACTAACAGCCTTGTACATTGCGATGAGGTCACGTAATATAGTTCTGCCCACGACCCTATCCTTACACCCCGTTATTAGAGACCCCACCTATTACACGCCCCCTTAGATAAGCTTAGGAACAAGCAATGGCTGCATGCCCATATCATGCTTTATATGCTGTTAGTTAATAGTTGTCAATATTTTTTTGGTAATTAATTAAATTCCCCCCTATACTCCCTTTATTGTCTTTCGCATTATAAGATTGTTTAATAAACATCAGACATTTTCTGAACCGACTCCGTTATATGGTCCCCAAGATCTCGGGGCATGGTACGGTCTGGATAGAACAATAAAGTCATGGCAGAGGAATTCTGGTGATCACCAAGGACAGATGTGAATTCTAAATTTAAGGCCAAGATAGTTGAATTGGAAAGATTCTCCAAGTCCGCTACATATCTCCTAACTTGTAATTGGGGTGAGTGGGACTTCGGGGGTGGCCAGCCTGCAGAAGAGGCGAGTCAGCCTGTAGTCAATGCAAGCCATTGGCCCGGCCCCACTAAGGACAGACTGCATTCTCTGCCTGGTTCTTGTACCCCCAGCATAGCATGCACAGGTAATTATGCACTCCCACTAAGCTGGCTGGGGACAGTTCTCTGGTGTCCCTAGATGAGTGAAAAATTCAGAATGGCAGGAAAACAAAAATTAAATTGGGACTGTCATGCCTAAATTTGGATAGTTTGGCTATTTTGAAGTCAGCAGTCCTGATTTCGGTGGGATAGTCCCAATTCCAGGGTCCTGTCCTACCATCCTGATTTTGTTAACTGGTGTCCCACTTTTGAAAGCACCAGGGAAATGTCCCCAAAAAGCTCGTCATTTGACAAGATTGTACTACACTCAGGACACTACGACCATGCAGATAACGCGCTGTCTGCATGGTCTGCTCTTAGTGGGCTGGGCTACTTGATCGGCACTCATACCATAGTTACCTGTAAATTCAGATCCGCCTTGTTTCATAGTGGATCTATCCACTTTGGACGATGCTGGTGATGCAATTCACTTGTAATAGTTATGGTGCTTGGAATCATCTTTTAAGCTGTACAGTTTCAGGATATGGGAGGGTCTATATTATTTATTTACATTTTTAAACTTATCTATATAATGCATTAAAAATAAGAGATCATGGGGGGGCAGGGCCTGACTGTCATGGAGGGAAGATGTGCCTAACTGAAGCTCCCTACTGATCTTTGCTACAACAGCTAAAAAGGCACCCCCAAACCACAATAAACTGCACAAACTGACCCCAAGCAACGTACTGGCTCTCAGTCCACACGGTAAACCGGTGATGCGGCCCGTGAATGGACGACAGACAGCAGGCTATACCCGCGGGGGCATGCAGCCGGGAACACACTGGACTGGAGCGGCGGCCGAGCTCCCAGCCTGGAGTGGCCCGGGAGCCGATTGCTAGAATGGGTATCCCGCAACATCCCCAGCTGGACCGGTGGGGGTGATCCCGGTCCACCACTGGGAGTCCTCCCAGATATGGCAGAAACAAAAGAGATACCGATCGGATGGCCGAGAGACTCCACAAAGACGGCCCGTGGGTAGCCATGAGGTACAACAAGCCCCTTTGTCCAGCTTGGAACAAATATTCACAAACTTCTGGCTCAGGCTTGAGCACAGATTGCGACAGGTAACTCTACAAACACCCACCTCAAGCCACCCACCATGCCATCCACCGCCCGACCCACAGCGACAACCGGCAGCTTTGATGAGGCCCAAACCTGCGAGAAGGCGGCGGAGAGACAGGCCGGCATCTCACCTGCACAGGGCGGCAAAACTGAGAAAACCCCCGAAACCAAGCACTGTCACGCCTCGGGCACCCTCTACTTTAGGAGCGACCCTACCCCAGCCAAACGACTCACCCAAACGACACCTATTATGCCCGCAGACTCAACGCATCGAAACGCGACTACATGGGCATCAATGGCAGGGCCCTGCACAGCCCCAATGAGGCATCGGTTGAAAAATCAAAAGCGCACTGCATACCTGGTTCCATGACCAGGAGACCAGTCACGGCATGCTACACCACAACGTTACATCGGGGACTCCAGGGGACCTTATAGTATTGTACTGTATTATTATATTGCCTACTCATAAGCATTCTCCAGCCTATATTTGCCACTTCACGCTTAAGATAAACGTTCCAATTGCAAACCCAGGCAAATGTGGGTACCTCTCATTTCTCCAGTTTTAAGCATAATCTCTCCTACCACCGCTCCACTTTGTGGCATTAATATCACTATTATCACCTTAGTAATACTCGTGGGCGCAGCGCCCTTAATCAATATTACAATAAGCTTCCAATGCATCTGAGCCTCCTGTTATGATGGATAGGCAGTTATACTCATTCTTCTCTACCATACTAGCATTACTTGTCAGCAGCTCCTACTGTTTTTCCTAGTTCACTCCGCAAGCCCAGTTTACCTGTCTGACCTGCCATTTTAAGCTCAGTCTAACTACTGAGACATCATTACCTAGCCTGTATTACTCTCGTTTTAACAATATCGACTTAATTTTAAAATTGTTCATGTATTCTGGACTACCCCATTGTTACATGTGTTACAAATATGCTTGAGGATTGCTGTTGGGATACCTCTCGTGCGTATGTTATTTCGATATGCACTACAAAAATAAAGAATAATAAAAAATAAAAAAAAGAGATCATTTTTATCCCATGGCTATCAGTCCTATGTCTTCTACCAGTTGACAAAGATTGCACAGGCTACAAAATAGGCAGCTGGTAAGCAAAGAACCTACAGCCAGCCAAATGCATTTATTTGCAATGAGATGGTTAACTTGAGCACAAGTGCCGTGGGGAGTGGCTGCTGCTGCACAGTCATGGGATGACTTGGTAGAACAGAAGATAACCCCAGCCCACTGTTATTTAATTTCATTTGTGGTCCTGACCGAGTGGCCAGTGCCAGGTATAGTTGCTGGGACAATATTATCCCCATATTAAAAATGTTTCTTGTTCTACTTTATTCCTGGCCCTGTAGCATGGGTAGCCAAAGATGCTACCAGCTTTAAACTAAGACCGATAACTATTTCCAATGTCATCCTTTGTGTGTGTAGAGGTTGGGATAGAAGCTTAAATGTCACCTCAACATTGAGAGACGATGATGACATGATGACAGCTAGTGTCATCACGGCTGTTAACACACAGTAAAAGCATGATGGTGGAGAGAGTCACCCCAACGGGAAGAATGACAAAGAGGGAGAGGAACAAGTGTGTCAGGTGCTACAGAGGGAGACGAAATTATGTGGGATAAAGGGAGAAGTGTGGGAGGAACAGAAACAGATTCTCAAGTGTAGGAGAGATTGAACTAGAGACACAATTGTGGGAGCATACAGAGGTCCCCTAACAGAGAAGGAAGTCACATCCAGGACACCAGCCAGCATATGAATTCAGTTCTGGTTTTAGTTTGATTATTTAGACAATAAATTTGATATTCACTTTGAATTCCTAGCAATTCTCACTTTGGTGAATAACACTGTAACTGACTGTTGTCATGTGAGAAGTGCACTTTTTCATATTTATAGATAGATGGCGCAAGTGAACCTTTTTACAGTCACTGATACTCAAAATAAGTTCACATTTTCATTCACTGATAAGTGTCACAAGTGCATTATAGATCAATAGTTGACATAATGGAGAAATGTTTTCAAGGCCTCCTGCCTAATATCATGTAGGTCACATGGGTCACGAGACATGGACTGCACAAGACCGCATAACATGTCCTGTGGTATCTAGCACCAAGACATTAGCATCAGATCCTTTAAGTCTTACAAGTTGCAAGGTGTGATCTCAATGGATCAGATTTGTTGTTTCAGCTCATCCCACAATTGCATTTAGATCTTGGGTATTTGGAGGCAAAGGTCACATCTTGAACTCTTTGTCATGTCCCTTAAACAATTCCTGAACATTTTTTTGCACGGTGGAGAGTGTACATGGTCTGAAATAATCTCTGGGTAGGTGGTACATGTCAAAGTATCATCCACATGAATGTCAGAACCTAAGCTTTCCCAACAGAACATTGCCCAGAGCAAAACACTGCCCCCGCGGTCTGACTTCTTCCCATAATGCATCCTGCTGTCATTTGTTCCTAAGGTAAACAACACAAAGAATCTATAGAAAATATACAGTACCCTAAAAGAACCCCCACCATAACTAGGAACCACACACAAGTTATATCCCCTGATAGTCCTGATCTGAGTGTACAACATTTCCAAATAACACTCAGATCTGTTTGGTGAAACTGGAATGCCACCGGGGTAAAGTTTTGACCCGCCAGACACGAGGTGCTAGCTCAAAACAGTTCCATGGAAATAGGTGTCCTGATCGGTCTATATTCGGGGATTCCTGTGCGAACACCATGCAAGGGATTCTCTTAATTTCAGGGTAAGAATGCTCCCCCTGTTTGGTAATTCCCATCTCCCGCACGTTGTTCGCCTAGTTTGTCGGAAAGTAGAACAGGCAGTGGTCTAACCTTTACCGGGATTCGTGCGAGTGCCTAGACGAAAAGAGGTCCAGGCACTCGACAACCAAGTGCCGCTGCCCACGTTTGGGAGACAAATGGCCGCCAGTCCTTTGTCGACCACGTGCATTTGGTTATACGAAATGGCAGTCACCCAGAGGAATCATTCATGAATTACTTCCTTTGCGGTTTCGCACTTAAGTTGCTCGTGTGAACATTCAAATAGGGTACAGAGGCAGTCCTCATTCGGGAGACGAATGGAAGGTGTTCGTATACTCTAATTCCTGAACAGAAAAAGACAAAACAGTTGAATTTGGGCAAAACAGACAAATTTGGTGGTAGGTTCCGCTACAGTCCAGTTCTGATGCTAATGTCACCATTGAAGGTGCTTTCGACTGTGGACAGGAATCATCATTGACACTCTGAACAGTCTGCAGCTACACACATCCACATGCAAACTGTGATGCACTGTATGTTCTGGCATCTTTCTATAATGGCCAGCACTGTTTTGAACTTTATTAGCTCTTCTGTGTGATCAGACCAAATGGGCTAGGCTCCGCTCCCCAAGTGCATCAATAAGTCTTCGGCGTCCATAACCCTGTTAGATCATGTGGCTTTCCTGCAACAGTTGTCCTTGTTTGCACCACTTTTGGTAGATACTAACCACTACATACCGGAAATACCCCCACAAGACTTGCCGTTTTGGATATTCTCTGACCCAGTATTCTAGCTATTATTCTTTGGCCCTTGTCAAAGTCACTCATACCTTTTCAATTGCCTATTTTTCCTGCTTCCAACACATGAAATTCAAGACCTGACTGTTCACTTGCTGTATAATATGTCTCACCCCTTGACAGGTGCCATTGTAACGATATAATCAATGTTATTCACTTCAACTGTCAGTGGTTTTAATGTTCTGGCTAATTAGTGTATATTATGCTGTCCAAGTTCACTCTCAGTGTATATTATGCTGTCCAAGAACTGTTTGATGATTTATTTGGGAGTTTACATAAAAAAATAGCATGGGAGGTAGGTAGCAATAATGTGTTAGTGGATGCGTGTGTGTGTGTCAAAGGCTTGCCAAGTCATACAATATCTTCGAGTGACACACAATATTTCCCAATCACCCAACAGACCAGCTTTGTCATCCACTGTCAGAGGACAATTGTGAACTTTAGTGACAATACATGGCTAAGTGCATTGGTACTGCACTTTTAAGGAATTTCTAGCCGTTTAAACGACAACCATCATCAAAGTTTCACTTCTTGTCTTACAGACACACCCACTGATTGACCCTGCCAACTCCTCCCTCTCTAGATTTCACCCATCCCAAACATGGCAGATCTACACATGTTCCTTGAAGATAAAAGAGGGACTTAAAAAGAGGGACTAATAGTATTGTATGAAAAACACAATTGCAGGAAGATGATAAAAATAATTCACTATCATCGCTTTGGCGGAATGATCCCCACCTAGGGACATAATGTGGTCCACAGGTGTGCATGTGGTCCTACTCTTGATCGATTTCCTCAACATGTAGGGGAAGAATTAAAATAATAGAGTAGTAGAAATAAAGCAGGGTAAGAAATGTGCACTCACATATTTTGGAGCCAAAACTTAGGATCCCAAAATACAGCGTGGAATCGTATGATCCCAAGTGGTGATGGTGTCTATCCGAAACCAGATATAGAAGAGAAGAAAACTAGAATAGTGTTTAACTGTAAAACTGGAGTAAAAAATGTGAAATAGATTAAAAAAACCTACTCACATGTATTGGAGCAAAATAAGATTTGTTCTTTGTGTCCCCACCAAGGCTCTAGGTGTTCACGAATCCAGCAGCAATCAGTAAGGTCTGATAAAGAAGTACTTTAATTTATAAAAACAAAATATATAACAATAAAAAGTGAAATAAACTAGCATAAAATACTCTTAACACGTTTCACCAACAATCTGGCTTTATAAAAAGAAACACTTTTGATAAAGCTAGATTGTTGGTGAAACACATTGTTTATTTTATGATAGTTTATTTCAATTTTTATTGTTATATCTTTTGTTTTTATAAATAAGAGTACTTTTTTTCCAGACCTTACTGATTGCCGCTGGAGTCATGAACGCCTAGAACCTTGGTAGGGATACAAAACCACCTACGTACCAATAAGAGTACTTTTATTTATAAAAACAAAAGATATAACAATAAAAAAGGAAATAAACTAGCATAAAATACTCTTAACGCATATCACCAACAATCTGGCTTTATAAAAAGAAACACTTTTGATAAAGCTAGATTGTTGGTTCAACGCATTGTGTATTTTATTCTATTTTATGCCATTTAATTTCACTTGTTATTGTTATATCTTTTGTTTGTATAAATAAAAGTACTTTTTAATCAGTCCTTACTGATTGCTGCTGGATTCATGAATGCTTAGATCCTTGGTGTGGTGACCTTGCGGTTCTCGGGCAACTTGGTCCGGTGTTTTGAACCACTTTGCAACCTGCCAGGAGAGCAGGGAAGGTGCCTTAGAC